GTGCCCCTTCCACTGTGGACATCTTTTTATTCAGGTACTAGGTTGTCAGGAAAATCGTGACATATTTGTTGTCTATACAAAAATGCACCATGGCTTCCCCAACAGCCCGGTCTCATCTCCCGTTTAGGAAGCAACTTCGTTCAGGATGAGGTCTGCTCCCAGTGCACCTTTCACAGCAAATATATGGAAGATGGTCAAACAGAAGAGGCAGACAGCAAGCCACGCAGAAGACAGACGTGGCCGGCCTCAGGGGTTACAGTGGAAGACGGCTGGGGACAAAGCAGCCCCGGCTTCTGCCTGATGTCAGGGCAGGTCTTTCCCCAACCGAGCAGCGCTCAGCCGAGAGCACAGAGTCGGCTTCCTGTGGGACTCACAGGCACTTTTTAAATGAAGAACAGAAAACACCAGACTGCACCAAGAAGAACTGAAGCATAGTACGGGAAAATACTGCCCCGTGGAACCGCTGCTTGCGGGGCGTGTCTCTGTGCATGCGTGCATGTGCATCTACGTGTGTGGACATACGAACCCAGTCAGAATACACTTTGTCGGTGGGTTACAGTTAGAAGACGTGTGAAAATCACAACTTCACCGAAGCATTTGCCTTTGAGCACCTGCGTTCATCCCAGCAGAGAAAAGTGAATGAACTAACAAATAAGAGTCCTGGGGCCCGAGTGTCCATATGATGCACATAGTTACATATAATTACTATTAAATGAGGATTCAAGCCGGGACTGTCCTGTCTCTAGAGTCCATGTTCGTTAATTACACAAATCAGTCGGTAACTAGATAAAAATGTTCAGTCGTAAACACATACGCGTTCGAGAGCTCGGGATCACCTATGTTATCACGTAGGCCAACGCGCCATTGTTTTGTAGACAGGAAATTCAAAAGGACTAAGCTATTGATCAAAGATACCCTATGATTTTCTATGGCACAGGGTTCAAAAGAAGTCCTGAGGTCAGGGCCAGACAACAGAGCAGCAATAAGACATGATGCTGTGAGGAAATACCACACACGAAGGTTCACGGTTCAAGTCTGGAGATGGCCCTGAGTGAGCCAGGCCCACTCCAGCTTTGCTCCTGCGCTGGCTGAAGGCTGAGAGTGAACAGCAGCGTCAGGGCCTTCCTGGAAGTGCTGCTCCCCACCCCATCTCCTTACTGTCTCTCTCACTCAAGGAAGAAAAAAATATTTAAAATAAAAATAAAAAGTACTGAGCCACCCATTGGCATGGTAGTTAAGGTGGCTGGATCCCAGATGGCCAACCAAGTGGTTCAAGGCCTGGACCTAGCAGCTTGAGAAACACACCAGGCACGTGTGCACGCATGCCCAAAATCCCAGGAGAATGGAGGAGACGGGACTGTGCTGTGGGTATCATCATTATCTCTCTCCCCTTCTCGCTCTCTGCACAACACATATAACCTCTAGGGAAATTTTAAAAAAAAAAGTACTGAGGCTCCCAAAGGAATTCGTTTATGTACCTTAACTCTATTATTATGTATCATGGTCACAGCTAAAAAAAAAAAAAAAATTACAAATATTAATTCTTTTTTTTTTTTTTTTTACGAAAGAGATTCTTGATATGGGGAGCATGTGCTCGCCCAGAGAGACAGAGACAGAGAGACAGAAAGTGAGAAATCACGCCCGGGGGGAACATGGCCACCCTGCAATCACTTCTCCTCCATTCTCCTATTGAGATTTTGAGCACGCAGGCTCAAGTGCCCAGCATGAGCTTTCAGCTGCTAGGTCCAAGATCTGAACCATGGTCGACTACACGGGAGTCTATTAACGTAACCGTCATGCCATCTGCTAGTCCCTATTAATTCACTTTAAAGTAGCAATAAACCCGTTAAATGTTAATATACGTAACACATTTTTAAATTATACTTTTCAAAAGAAAAAATAATACTTAGGATGAAAGTCTTATTTCACATTTTTTGCAAATCTCTTCAAAGCCTGATTTCTATAGAAGATAGCTGTGTTCTACTGCTTTCATAATAAATCTGCCGTGTTACATTGTTTTAGCTCAAGTATATAAAGAAAATCCACCCTCGTAGAGCCTCACAGAGCCTAAGAAAAAGTCTCCTGGCCCCCAAGATCTCTTTAGTCTTCCCTGATGCCCCCGTTCTAAAGGCCACATTCCTCTAGCCATCCTTCCCGAGGACTTGACAAACCAAGGCTAACTGACACACACTCTTTAGAAAATTTTAGAAACCTACTTCATACTTGGCACTTCCCCCAGGTATTGCTGAATTCTATTGCTAATATGAGGGGACTTCAAAAGTCTGAGTTCATTTTTTTGCAAAACAAAAGAATTTTTTTGACTATGCATAGTTTCTTCATAATCTATGAACTTTACCATGAAGTTTTTTAAGAGGATTTTGCCTTCGGGCACGTGCACTTTGCGGGGTGGGGGACAGAAACAGTGGCAGGAAAAGTGAGGAATCACCCCACAGGGTCTTCCTGGAAGTGTTGCTCCCCACCCCATCTCCTTACTCCCTGTCTCTCTCACTCAAGGAAGAAAAAATATTTAAAATAAAAATAAAAAGTACCGAGCCACCCATTGGCACGGTAGTTAAGGAATAGCCATGCTGCGATCCCTTCTCCATTCTCCCAGGACCTTGGGCATGCACACAAACATGCCCAGCGTGATTTTCAAGCCACCAGGTTGGGGACTCAAACCACAACTGGCCATGTGGGAGTTCAGTGACATAACTGCTACACCTCTCCTGGCCCCTCCCTGAACTTTTTGAAGACCCCTCTTATATTAAAATATGAGGCCAAATTTAAAACTTTTTTTTTTCAGGATCCTTTTGAAAAAGGGAAGAATAGCATTCGCAGGAAGCCAGTCCGAGCTGCAGTCCACGACAGCAGAAACCCGACGGCTGGGCATCAGCGCCCACTAGAGGCCATGCGAGGGCAGCAGGCAGCTCCTATGAAGGGGCAGATGGTGCCTGCTTCAGACTCCGGGGCCGTGGAGTGACGGTAGACAACGTTCGAGTTTACCCTCGCGTGTGTGAGCACATCCGTTTGTACAATATGTAAGGAACGGGAGTGGCCATGTTCCAATACAATTTTTCTTACAGAAGCCGGTCAGGCCACATTTAGACTTTGGCCATGGTTTGCTGAACTACGGTTAGACTACACAGAGCAGCCTTGAAAATAGAAAGACTAGGAAGCCTTTTCTTCCTTCCTTCCTTCCTTCCTTCCTTCCATCCTTCCTTCCTTCCTTTCGTCTTTAATAAGATCTTTTTCTTATTTACCACCAGATTTTACTTGAATATGAATTTCCAGGGTGGTCCCTCCAACCTAATATATCCTGGAAAAACATATACTAGTACTATACCTTCTTCTCTTTGAGGGAAAAGGGGGCAGGATGAGTAATTCTTAGGTACTTTCAAATAACTAACATCAAATCAACCACTTAAAAGCACATAATTTAAAAAAATGGAAATATTTGGGCAAAATATTCCCAAAAAGAAACTTTGTCAATAAAACATTTCAAGATATACCAAATCCTTATCCTTTGTTCTTCATTCCTTATAGTTAATGTATAATTATACAGTTACATAATTACATGAAATTCCTTCTGAGCAGGAAAAGCGTTCTTAAACGAAGTTAAAAAAAAAAAAAAAAGCACAGATCATAAATGAAACTAATAAATTTTACTATATTAATTATTTGATATGTAAAATTTCCTCTGAAGGCTCGTAAAACCCCAACAATAAACAGGTAAGCCACAAGTTGTCAGAGATATTTATAAACAGTTTAAGTAGCAAAGGATTAAAACCGAGAATAAATAGGAAACTCCTAAATAACAACAAAAAGCACAGAGGGGACGGTTATGGTGTGATAGCGTTTATAGCTCACCAAACTGGCAAATGTTTACGGCTGTGGTGATACCAAGTGAGCTGACATGTCCCAGACCAGGAGAACCCCGCGTGGCTGGCAGGAGAGGAAACAGACACCGTCCTTTGGAACAGAACTCGCCTCATCTTGAAAAGCTCAACACGTGCACCTGACCAGTCTCTAGGAAGGTCTACCGAGAAGCTACTGCCCGTGGACAGAAGGTGGACAAAGATGCTCGTAACTGGCGAATGGGTGAAAGCCAATGCATGGGAAACGATGCAACTGAGAAAAGGAACACAACTGTGTGAGTCAGCCTGGATGAATCTCGAACAATAATAAGTCAAACCAGCAATTTTCCAAAAATACATTTAGTAAGATATAGCATGTGCACCTAGTGTGAACAAGAAAAGACCATTTTTTATTGGTTAAAGAAAGTATAGTAAATGTAATAAAAGTATAGAGAAGATGCAGAAACGACAGCAGCAAATTCAGGTCCTGGGGACTGCGGGTTAGGGTGAAGGACAGAGGGGTTAGGGAGGGAGACCTGGTCTCATAAATAGTGGTAAATGTAGTATTCTTAATATTCTCGTCTATATTTAGCATATTTCACAGAGATTTTTTTAAAAAGCTGTATATGAAAAACTTACACTGTATTGAATTTTTAAAAATAAATTAGACTAGTAGATTTTTTTCCGAACTAATTTCTAAGTGGCTAGAACAGGAGCAAAGAGCCCAAATCAGCCAGGGCTGCTCTGTTTACCCAACCACCTCTCACGACACAGAACCGCTCATCTTTGAATCTAGCGCGCCACCTTGTGTTCAAAAGCTTCCAGCGACTGTAAAATTCAGAGACCTGTGTCGGTGAGCATGGCTTTCCTGAATACAGCAGCAGTTCCTTTCCGCTGTGGCATGAAGTTTGACCTTAGTAAGAGCATGAAAACCTCATGGGGAAAAAAAAAGTAGTTTAATTCTGAAAAAAACATCCATTGTATTTCATTTTACTAATTCCCTTTTCTAAATGTTCATTTCGCTGTACTTTCAGAACATAACTTGCCTCTTCTACTGGATGGTAAGTATATGAAGTTTTCCAGTGAATACCAATCAGACTCACAGATATTGACAACGCCAAAACAGGCTTCGGAAGAGAAACGTACCTTTGAATGCGTGATGGATAAGGTGTCCACCCACACACGCCAGCCGCCCCATTCGTACTTGACTGCGTGGTAAAGTAGGATTCTGAATATCGCATACACCATTTCTGTTATCTTTTGCTCGTCTGAATTCTTGGGACTGAAATAGCAGAGAGAAAGCATCCACTCTTGCCACACAGAGCACTGGAGCAAGCTCCTAAAAATGATAAGAGTCCTCGATTATTGAAAAAAATAAAAGTCAGCTGAAAGAATTCTAAAAAGTCAAGGTTTGGGATCAGCAGTTAGCGTACTGGCTATGTCGCTGGACTCCCACGTAGTTGACCGCAGTTCGCATCCCGGACCTGGTGGCTTAAACTCAAGCCGGGCACGTGTGCGTGCGTGCCCAAGATCCCAAGAGGAGAATGGAGGAGAAGGGATTGTGGCGTGGCCATCCCCCCTGGGGGTGATTTCTCACTTTCTGTCTCTCTGTCTCTCTCTGTCTGGCGAGCACATGCACCCTATAGCAAAAACCTCTTCAGAAAAAAAAAAAAAAAAAAAAAAGTCAAGGTTTAAAATAAAATACCCCGAAAGTACATCACTACGTTTTCAAAACATTAAACAACATGGCACTAAAAACTCTAAATTAACGATAGCGTACACTACTACAAGCTCTTGGTGATAAAAACATATGAAAAATTCATTTCACAGTAACTTGTAAGCTCTATTTCTAAGGCAGAATAGGCTTACGCAAAAGTAGACTTGAGTGCTGCAAATAAAGGCTTCGCCCAGCTTACCTCCTGTTTTCTCTGCTGTTATTAAAAAGTTTAATCATGTCAGAGAGAAAGGCTCGGCGAACCTCCATGCTCTCTGGGCACTGGGGAGAATTGCGAAGTAGGGTCGCAATGACTTTTAGTATCTCTGCAAGACAGTTCATAAATAAGTAAAAATCAAAACACAACAAAACATGTATGACAGGAGGTCAGCGGTATGTCGCGATTTCTTTCGTTTCCTGACATAAATGTCTACACAAAGTCTGCTCTTCTGTGTAATTAAAAAAAAAAATCTATCTAAAAAGAATGACAATATATTCATTATGAAGCATTTATAAACAAGAAAGGGATTTTATTCTGTGATTTAAATACGCAAAGTAAGGTTGAATTTTTACTTAAAAGGTTCAAAGAAAACAAGTTAAATTTTAAACATGTTAAATGACGGTAAAACTGCTGACGACTCTCTTTAATTTCTGCCAGTTACATGGATTTTAAAAGCAAGCAAAGATCACTATAATCAAAATCTCTGAGAAAAAGAACAAATTCTCGGGTACCTCAACATAATCTGTGGTATGCACAAAGCTTACTCTTTATCACAGTGAACTGTAAGAACTGTAAGGATTTTCTTTTGTAACTTTCAAAGTAAAATTAGGACAAAAACCCAAAGGAAATTAAAACCTTTCCAATGTCCTTGTTCCCCAGCAAATGCAAACAAAATTGCTACTGTAATGGTCTAAATGTCTAGAACCTAAACTGAAAGAAAACCTTTAAAATATGTACTTTATCCAGAACCTTGCAGATAAGAAACAACAAAAAAGCTGTAAGAGCTGTCGATCTAAATTTAAACTTACACAATACAACCAATTTTACCCAAAGGAAAATGTAGGAACTCTAAACCAGTCCTTTGTCAAGGATTTTAATGATTCTGAAGCAAAAAGTTCAAAACAGTAAATGCGAAGATACTTTTACCATACAATCAATTATATGTGGGGAGCGATTTACGGAACCTTCTAATGAAAAATTGACAATTTCTGTACCTGAACAATGATTACAATATTCATGGGAATCATATCGAAAATAAGATAATAACAACAGCCACTAATTTTGACGATATATTGTCACAAGGCACTGTTTTAAGAAACTACTTATTAATTCATTTATTCCTTCATAAATGAATAAGTATAGGCTATGTTATTCTCATTTTAGATGTAAGAAAACTAAGGCATGAAAATTAAGTAATGTACCCAGAGTCACAGAACTAGGAAGGCATGTGACCAGGAGTTCAACCCAAAGCCTGTTTTCTAACTACCTCCTAACTTTTCTGAGTCAGCACATTACGTATTAGGTAGATAACTACTATGGTTTAAATGGAGCCCCTTTAAAATTCAGATGTTGTCAATGTGATAATATTAAGAGATGAGTCCTTAGAAAGGTGATTAGGCCATAAGGGGTCCTCTCCCATCAGTGGGACTGAGGCATTTGTGAAAGAAGCTTAACAGAGATTTTGGCAAGCTTACTAGGTCGCTCTTTTGCCTCCCTTAAAAATAGAAATAAGCCTTCATCAGAATAAATGCACATGCCCTGATTGTGGACTTCCCAGACTCCAGAACTGTGTGAAAAGAAATTTATATTCTTTATAAATTACCCAGTCTCAGGTTATGTTATAGCAGTACAAGATAGACTAAGACAACCATATATTCTCAAATTCTTACGTCAGTAAGCCATCTTCCCATAACCACATAACACTATATACAATATATAATGCATGTTCATGTGTAATATCTGTAAATTCGTGACTTTCTCTTGTCATTCTTAAAAATAATGACATCATGGGAACCAACAGGTAGTGTGGTGGTTAAGGTGCTGAAGTCCCATATGGCTGACCATGGTTAGAGTCCCAGACACAACAGTTTGAAAATCACACCAGGTGCATGTGCATGAATGTTCAAAGTCTCAAGAGAATGGAGGAGAAGAAACTGCGGTATGGCCATCTCCACTGAGGGAATGATTTCTCATTTTCCCTCTCTCTGTCTCTGTCTTTCTCGTGTGAGCATACACACCCTCTGGCAAAAACGTAAAAAGAAAATAAAAAACTTAAATGCCATCCTATCTCTTTAAAAGCTGAGGAAAATTAAACTTCAGAGCCATGTACTCTTAAAATTAGCACTAAAGTAGAGCAGCACACAAACACCTCACCACACAAAAAACAAATTTTAAAATTCTACAAACCAGGTATTTCAGTGACATGATCTTTTTAGAAAGCAAGATGGAAAACATACTTTGGGGACCAGTGGTGGCGTGGTGGTTGGGGTGCTGGACGCTCCCACATGGCCGACAGGGGTTCGAGTCCTGGACCTGGTGGCTTGCTTTCTCACTTCCTCTCTCTCTCTCTCTCACCCTCTGTCTCTCTCTGGTCAAATTAAAAAATCAATGAATGAATAAATTAAACAAAATAGTTATTTTTAAAAAAACACTTTGTACAAGTACTTTAAGAATTCTAAATATCAGAAAAAAAGACTGTTAAACCTGACTATGATTATAAACAATAAAAAAGATGGATATTCTTCTGCTCCAAATTTGGTATTCTTATATTAACAGGGATTTCAAATGAAAGCCGCCTCCATGGTTCATGTAATACAGACTAACATCACTAAATCAGGTAATCAAAACTTTGCTGAAATATGAATATGCATTAAATCAAGATTTTATGCACGTAATCCTTCAAAACCTTTACATAAGCATTTCCACAAACCTTGAGATCAATGAGAAGTTATATCCAAGTAAAACCAGGATGATGATACTGCCTTTCATGAAACACTCAGCTAACAATCTGCTTCCAACAATACCTGCTTTAGGTTTTTTGCACTCCCTTTTTAAGTAGCAAAACTAAAAAGCATAGTTTTTTAAAAGCACACAAATACATACGCGGGTTTTGTATCTTTACAGTCGAATCGGGATCTGGATGCTGTTTATGTATCACCTGAGTACAAATCTGTTCTATAAGAATCTGTGGAAGTAAAACAATAGATTACATTAGCATAATCACCGTGTTAGGGTCACCATTCATGAACCCATGGGACTAATCCAAGCCAATCAGAAGTCATGGAACTAATCCAAGCCAATCAGAAGTCAGGATACCATCTATTACCAACAGGCTAAATATTCTCTGGGTAGAAGAAAAACAACTACAGCATCGTAACTTTACTTCCACTTAAATATAACGTGAGATGCTTAATAGGCAATACAGTGGAGGGAATATTTAAACAGGGAAAACTATACTGCTCGGTAATTCACTGATAAATGGGTTTTTAAAAACGAAGCCATATATCTAGCATACAAACAGTTTCCTTTTTTTTTTTGTTTTTGGAGAGGTTTTTGCTATAGGGCGCGTGCGCTCGCCAGAAAGACAGAGGGAGACAGAGCGACAGAAAGTGACAAATCACCCCCCAGGGGGGATGGCCACGCCACAATCCCTTCTCCTCCATTCTCTCGGGATCTTGGGCACACACGCACAAGCGCCCGGTGTGAGTTTAAGCCACCAAGTCTGGGACTCGAACCACAGGTGACCACATGGGAGTCCAGAGACATAGCCATTATGCTAACTGCTAGTCCCTTTACAAACAGTTTCTAAATGGTACCTTACAAACCTAAACGATCGTATTTTTATCTAGATCCGGTCAATTCAATTACACAGGCACTTCTGTAATAAGAAGAAAGAGTATTCTAGCAACGTTCCTACCTCGAACAGGACATTGTATGTAGTCATGGTGATTAAATTCGTCTGAAGCATGAGCCTTTCAGCTAGCAGTGAAAACAATCCATGCCCAAGCATGATTTCAGCCTTTCTCCTGCAATTACACAGAAAGCAATCATCAAACGGGGAGTTTTCCGGTGAGCTACTTAACTTTGTCCTCAGGATGGAAGAAACACAGAAAATGTTTTTCACATTGGAAATTCCAAACTCAATTACTCTCCCAATTTGCTTCAACACAGAACTTTTAAGGTTACAAAATCTTTAAGAAGGAAAACGCTGATTAATAATTAAGCATAGTCAAATTAAAAAAAAAAATCACAAGATTGGCTATGCCATGCCACAGCAAAAACCTCCAATATTTTCAGAGCGAGTATTTATCTAACCCTGCTACTCTCTACCAGTACCGAGGAAGCATCTACCGGAGGTGACCACCTTACGTAAGCAGGTAAGTAGGAAAGCACTGGAAGATAATGTAAGAAGATGAACACAATGGAAACACAGACTAAAATTTCCATGGACACATTTAGAAGCTACAGGACCACAGACGTTCACTCGACCCCTGGGAATCAGCCAACCTTTTCTGCAAATATCGGGATAGTAAATATTTAAGGCTTTTTGGACCATAGGGTCTAGGTCACAATTCCATACGGCCCTTATATCGTAAAAGCAGCCATAGACACATCACGAATAAATGATAGCTGTATGTGCCCATAAAATTGCATTTACAGACAGTCAGCTGGACTCCAAAAAAATTAAGTTGACCAACATGTCTCCTGTCCCCCAAATGTTTTTTCATCTTTATTTTTATTTCTTGATATGGTCTCACTATGCCGTAATCTTCCTGCCTCTCTGTCACTGAGACCACAGGTGCAAGTCACTCAGTTTTTAGGAGATGTGAGGAATGGAACCCAGGCCTACCAGGTGGCCTCAGCCTTCCAAGCAGCGGCACGAACTGGCATGTACTAGCACAGCTAGGCCTTCATATGCATAAGTCCTCCCGATACAAGGAACAACGGGTATCTCTTGGGTACCTGCATTCCCCTAAGCACGGGAGCCATGCATACAGCATAACGTGACATGAGCTTTATCGTGCATGGAAGGTAGATGACGTCGCAAGTCACCGACTCCACGTGTCCAATGTCTAGAGTTCAAGTTATCTAAGCTAATTACCACAATTCACTAAAATGTATGAATAATGCAAATAACTTTCATATAAAACAAACTAAATACTCTGGTCCAGCTTTATCTTTTAATTATGTAGTACTGGAATTAAATATATACAGCGCTTTAGGAATAAAAATACTATTTTGAAAGTCTACAAAATTTTACTTACATAAGTAAGGTACCACAGTCCATTTTTAGATGTCATGCATACTCACTTTGGGGCCAGATGTTTTAAAAAATAGCCCATGGCCTTGAGAGCTTGCACTCGGATTCCTTCGCTTTTGGATGCCAGAAGTTTGTAGATAACCCTGGATGAATAAAAACTCAAATTGAACTATTCTGAGCATAATTTTCAAAAGTAAAGATGTGAGATACTTTTCAAAATAATATTCATCTCACCAAATGAGACATTAGAAGTCAATCATTTTAAAATTCAGATTGTAGTACGAAAACTATAAAAGTCAATTAGGACAACACTGACATGTTCGGAAGTTTCTTTTCTTCAGTGATTTAAACTAGGCAAAATAAGAATTGTTTATAAAAGACAGACCAGCAGTTGGTATAATGGCTATGTCACAGGACTCCCATATAGTCAATAGCGGTTTGAGTCCCAGACACGGTGGCTTAGACTCAAACCGGGTACATGTGCATGCGTGCCCAAGATCCCGAGGGGAGAATAGAGGAGAAGGGATTGTGGTGTGGTCATCCCCCCGGGGGGCGATTTCTTGCTTTCTGCCTCTTTGTCTCTCTCTGTCTTGAAATTAAAACAAAAAAAAGAGAAATACCAATTAAGTTTTTGTTGATTTAAAAGCCACAACTACGAAAATTAACACATTAAAGAAAAAACTATGATGGGGACCAGCAGGTGGCATGGTGGTTAAGACTCTGGACACTCCCACGTGGCCGACCACGGTTCGAGTCCTGAACCTGGTGGCTTGCTTTCTCACATTCTCTTTCTCTCTCTGTGTCTCTCTCTGGTCAAATTAAAATAAATGAATGAATGAATAAAAATGAACAATTATTTAAAAAAAAAAAAACTATGCTTGCTGCAGCTTAAATTAACATATATCTGTAGTTAATATCAATGACTTCCTCAAAAGACAAACACCAAATAACATTGCCAAAGTACTTTCAAATACTGTTTCATTAGGATTATTAAGCACAAAAGAACTTCAACTGAATCTATAAATAAACCTAGTATCTATCCTACAATAAATTTTTAAATGTGGAACATCTCAGATCAAAGCCAAATCTAATTAGTCTATCTGCTAAATATAAGCAGTAAATTTTGTAAGTTAACTAGGACTATTTTGCTTTTTGACTAAAGCTCAGTTGCTATTTAAGAAAAAAAAAAAAAACTTCATATATTAAAAGGGTAAAAAGATCTTCCATGAAATTTAAATATTTACCTAATCATAAAAAAATTTTATAAATGAGAATATTTTTATGTAATGTTTTACTCTGATCATATGTTTAAAGAAATGCATATTAGGACCAGTAGTTGGCATAATGGCTATGTCGCTGGACTCCCATGTAGTTCGAGTCCTGAGCCCGGTGGCTTAAACTCACGCTGGGCACATGTGTGTGCATGCCCAAGATCTCGAGAGGAGAATGGAGGAGAAGGGCCTGCGGCGTGGCCATCTCCCCTGGTGGGTGATTTCTCGCTTTCTGTCTCTCTGTCTCTGTCTGTCTTTCTGGCAAGCGCACGTGCCCTATAGCAAAAACCTCTCAAAAAAAAAAAAAAAAAAAAAATAAAAAAAAAAAAAAGGGAAAAAAAAAAAAGAATTAAAAAAAAAGTCAAGGGAAAAAACATCTTCTAGCATTTATTTCCCACAGGACTCAGCAAACTTCTCCGTGAAGAACCAGACAGTGAACATCTTGTGTTTTGCAGCCCCTACCGTCTCTGTTAAAACTCTGACTCTGTTGCTGAAGCAGAAAATTGGTCACGGACAAGTTTAAGAGAACAGGAATGGGTGTGTCCTGACAAAGCTTATTTATGACAATAGGCCATTATCGAAGGGTAAGCAAAAGACAGTAAATGGGAAGGAAGATGACCGAGAGCAAAGGGGAAGGGCAGTCATAAACAGGAAGAAGGCCGCCCGACCCACTACCAAGGAAGAAAAGGGTTGGATACATATTTTATATAACCTGTGGGAAAAACACCATAAGTTGCAATCACTCCCTCCTGTTTTAATAAAGTAGCCGCTGAGAAGAATGAGGCAGTTAGGAAAACTTGTGAGAAATAAAAAGAGGAAAGTCTAACAATGGTAGAAGTGTGCTGACTTGAGATCATGAACTTATTACTGTTTGGACGTACACACTGCTTGATGTTTTTCCCCAGCAGTTGAGAGGGCGCCTACCCAGGCTGACCTAGGGCTAGAATTCTCAGGAGCTGGTAAAATGAGGCAAGGACAAAAACCAGGTCCAGTAATCCACCAGGCTAGGAAGGGTGTGACCCATGGCAAAAGAAGTATGACAAACTGGGATAGAAATACCAACGCCACGACATAAAAGAGATTGAAGAGCCCTGAAAAGGGTGATATTAGGACAATGGAAGGACACGGGCCAGCAGGTCGTGTGGTGGTTAAGTCCCTGGGCTCCCACATGGCTAAGCCTGGTCCGATCCCCTGACCAGCAAGCTTCCTTTCTTACGCCCCCCCATCCTCCCCGCTCTCTCTGGTAAGCACATGTGCCCTACAGCAAACTGAAACACAATCATAAATAAAATTGGGACCAGCAGGTGGCATAATGGTTACATCACTGGAATCCCATGTAGTCAACTGCAGTTCGAGTCCCTGACTCGGCAGCTTAAAATTCACACCAGGTGCGCGTACGTACACGCCCAAAATCCCAAGAGGAGGATAGAAGTGAAAGGACTGCAGTGTGGCCATCCCCCCGGTGGGTGATTTCTCACTTTCTGTCTTTCTCCCTCTGTCTCTGTTATTAGCAAGACAACAGACTAGAACCACTAAGGTATTTTGTTTTTGCTGTCGACGATTATTACGGTTTAAATGTTTGTGTACCCCCAAATTTGTATGTGGAAGCCCTAACTCCCAGTATGGCAGTATTTGGAGATAGACATCACAGCTCGCTCGCTCGCTCTCTCTCTGCCATATGAGGACATGGCAAGAGGAGGATGTCCACAATCCCAAGCAAGAGCCTTGCCAGACACAACCCTGGTGGCACCATGACCCTAGACTTCCTGTCTCAAGGACTAAGAGAAAATAAATTGTTGGCTAACTCGTCTAGTCTATGAGGTTGGTTAAGGAGCCTAGGAAAAATAATACCATGCTGATTGGGAAGTGGGAGGCATATAAAACGGCATTATAAAGGGAGGACACAGACCTCCTACTGGATCCCAGCAGTGCTACTGCTCTAGAACCTGAAGAAAACTCTGATGGGAATCCGACTTCACAGTAACGCAACAACAGCACTTAGGACCGTAATGATGTCTCTGTCTTCATAATTAAACGGGGACACATATTAACACAGGCTCGTCCAAAAAATGTTAATACAGCAAATAAATGGGTCTTAAATCTTAACTCATTTTATAAGATTGAATAACACTTAGGTTTAAGAACCTTCCCCATAGCTCCAAACAGGCCCTCATATTAAATATAATAAAATTCTTGCTAAAACGCTTACCGTAGCCCGTTCCTTTGGTCGAAGGCAGGAATCATAGAGTTAGGGTGTTCAGACATCAATGCGACAAGCAGCTGAAGGACATCCATTAGATTGTCATCCTAGGTTCACCGCAAAAGATTTTAAAAATAGAAAGAGGAAAAACAATAAGTATAGAATGCATCTGTGTAACTCAATACGACATCATCAAAGAGTCAATTTCTTAATCCAAGAAATAACATGCCTCTAATATTACACTGAATCAGAATTTCCTCAAACATACTCTACAGAACAGTGGGTCTAACTTGATAGGTTTGGGGTTTTTTTTGTTTGTTTCTTTGTTTTAAGTTTTTGCCGTAGGGCATATCTGCCGCTTGGAGAGACAGAGATAGATAGTGAGAGGGAAAGTGAAGTCACACACTCCCCCCTCTGAAAGGATGGCCACAGAACAACCCTTTCTCCTCCACTCTACCTCTGGGATTGTAGACATGCACGCACACATGCCTGGCATGACTTCTAAACCATCAGGTCTGGGCCTAGAACTGCAGTCAACCATGTGGGAGTCCATCCCCTTACACACCATGCTACCTGCTAGCCCTAAATTTCTTGTTTGTTTGTTTAAAAGAAGGCTTATAGATCAAAAAGCTGGGGAATAGGAGAGGCTAAGCTGTTCTTATAGGAAGACATAGAAGAGCCTTTACTATGCTAGTGAATGCTGTGAGTCTGGGGGTAGAGGTGAGGGCAAGAGACTACACACACACACACACACACACACACACACACACACACACACATATATATAACTTCCTAAATTTACCTAATCTGGAATATTTTGTCCACTGTGTCTCTTTAGGGAGTCTCTGGGAAATCATAACTGGATAGTTCTCACAAAGCATCTGTTGCTAGTCTTCAAGACAAAGACGATCAATGAACACTTACTGAGTCAGCATACTACAGCACGTGGGCCACTGGGGAACAGTGAGAGAACACGGGCGTAGGAGCCGCCCTCCAGAGCACTTCATGAACGACACCCCCTGCCTGTGCTGGCTATTCCATTTCAGATGCAAGTCATGGGGCCAAGCTGGGCAACATGGACCCAGAAAGGAAGAAAGCAAGCCGCTGTAAGAGGATACTAGCTTGGCTGCCCTAACTTCAGGTTTTCCTTCCTTGCTTTTGAATTGTTCCTGTAGAAGCTACAAGTATATCTAATTTTCAAAACATGAAGTGGATCATCTGCAGCTTCGACACTGAACTCTTGGAAAACTGTTATGTGGAGGGCCTGCAAGACCCCAGAATTAATAGGAAAAAAAGGAGCATCGCTGCAACTTATGGTTTCTCTTAATGAAGAACTTCATTTGGTCCATCGGGGTTGACAGAAAATAAAAGCGCATATAATAAAAGACTAACGAAATTCAACAGAAGACATTCCAACTATTACATTTGGAGGGAGTTATAAACAAAAATAATAAGATACTCCACTCAAAAGGGGAAAAAAGTCATAGTCTCTCATGATTTGGGGTCAGATACGATACAATCAAGAAACTTATATTGGGACCGGCAGTTGATGTAAAGGCTATGTCGCTGGACTCCCATCTAGTGACCATGGTTCAAGTCCTGGACCCAGCAGCTGAAATTCATGCCGGGCACTAGTACATGCAAGCCTAAGATCCTGAGAGGAGAATGGAGGAGAAGGGACTGCAGCGTGACCATCCTCCCTAGGGGGTGATTTCTCTCTTTCTCTCTCTGTCTCTCTCTGTCTGTCTGACGAGCACATGTGCCCTATAGCAAAAACCTCTCCAAAAAAAGAAAACAAAAAGAAAACTTATCATATTCAGCATTCCTTTATGTTTCATTTAACAGAGATACCTCTGATCATTATCTCACCTTATTAATAATTAAAGGCGGCACCATGCCATACTAAAACATATTACCTCACAATAAATACAGGAATGCATATTATCATTTAAATCTTTGAGACATAGAACATTTCATCAATTGCTAAACTTTACTTATTTATACCTTATTTAATTAGAGCAGTTAGTTAGATTACACCTAGATATATGTTTTCCTGGTGCTAAAAACAGAGGGGTGGAGGGGAACAGATATCTCAACCTACTTAATATTCAACCTCTCTGTCAAGCATGTAACTAAATCCTATTGCAGATGAGTTAACTTAATAAAATAATTGTACATGCAAAATCAGTGGGAAGACTATGTAATGAGTTTTGAAATCCAATCATTTTTAGTCGTTTTCATGACCTATTTTTTCCAATTGTCACCCTGGTTCCTGAAAATACAATGAAGCTATGATCTGGTATACTTTATTATTAATTCAATGACCTCTGATTTTAACACTAGGTAAAGCCTTTCATGATCATTCTCAGAGCCATCTTCTGGATATTTAAATGAAGGTTTCTAAGATTTCATTCCTAAACGCATTTACTCCCTATTAGAATAAGATCTTAGTGAAAATTGTTTTAACATTTATAAAATTCCATAGTTCACCTTCAAAAACTATTTCAAAATATGAAATTCAAACGTTACCTCATGCATAGTCAGTAGATAATTAAGAATGGCTTGTAGTTCATCTTCCTTTACTCCAGAATCCTTTAAAAACATAACACAAGTGTCTTATGGTTACATATAAGATTTGTTTTTTTAGTTCTTGCTGTAGAGCATGTATACCCACCAGTGAAAACCAGAGAGAGACAGAGAGAGAGAAAGTGAGGATGACCACACGAGGACGGCCATGCGACAGTCCCTTCTCCTGCAGTCCCTGTCTATGGATTTGGGGCACACACCACATGTGTCTGGTGTGTCTTTCTACTTCCTGCTCTGGGACTTAAACTATGACATCATCAATATGGGATCCAGTCACCTAACCACCGCATAATCAGGTGGCCCAAAAATAAAATTTTTAAGACAAATTATACACATAAATTTGTCGAGTTGGTCAAATGCTATACGTATGAAAAGATAATATAACACGAGATCTAAATTTAAGTTCGAGGAAGCACTAAAGACACACAGATGTCTTTAGAGATGATGGAAAAGTCAAGAGGCTTGACGCGAGCATCTTGTTGCAGCACTTACATGATAACCTAGTTAGTGTAACTACACAATCCTGAAGGAAGCAAAAAGAAGTACCGATAAATAAAAGTAATATTCACAGCTACCACTCCTCTAAATATAGAAGATTAGTTATCTACTTAAAATGAAATTTGGAGGATACGACGAGTAGTTTCTAAAATTACCAAGTAAAAATGTCAGGTCCCTAAAAAAACTGAGTAGTAATTTCACTGTGGAAAAACGCTGCACTTTTTTTTTTTTTTTTTTTTTTTTGGTTATACAGTGTGGGCACTCACTGGAAAGACAGAGAGAGACAGAGAGACAGAAAGTGAGAAATCACCCCCCAGGGGGATGGCCACACTGCAATCCCTTCTCCTCTATTCTCCTCTCGGGATCTTGGGCATGCACGCACATGCGCCCGGCATGAGTTTAAGCCACCGGGTCCATGACTTGAACCGTGGTCGACTACATGGGAGTCCAGCGACATAGCCATTACACTAACTGCTGGTCCCGACGCTACACTTTTAAATATGAAGTCACGATGAAAATTTTCAACCAGGGGCTGCAAGATGGCATTGATTACATCACTAGACTCCCACATGAATGACCACCGTTTGAGTCCCAGACCTGGTGGCTTGAAAATCATTCCAGGTGTGAGTGTGCACGTGCCCAACATGCAGGGAGGGGGATGGGAAGGGATTGCAGTGTGGCCATCCCCTTAGGGGGCAATTTCTCACTTTCCTCCTCATTGTCTCTGTCTCTCTCCAGCGAGCACACAGACCCTAAGGCAAAAACCTAAAAAAAAAAAAAAAAATTCTTTTTCAACCTACTTTGTTAATAAATAAAGCACAATCGCACAATCTCTAAAGAATGAAAAAAAAAAAGTCAAAAGAAATGAGAAAGAAAACAAATGAGAGAGAGAAAACAGAAACAAAAAAGCATACTTAGGAAACAACAGAAAAGAACTATTCAAAGGATACTTCTTTTAGTGAATGGAAATAAGGCATCTGTGCCTCAGCGTGTAAGGAAAGTTAGATACACTTGCAATAATTTTATGTGACAGCTAAGAAAGCATTATAAATGTAAAGACTGAAAATCAAAATGCTATAGGAAAATACTGAATAAAAACACGGGCAGTAATACATTTATATATTGCTATCTTATAAAACCAAAATATTTCTAAAACTAATATTAAACTTTAATTTACCTACAACAGACTGACAAGAAACAAAACGTGGTCATTACTAAAGGCTGATACACACCTTCAGGTACACTTATAGATTTATACTATTTACTAAAATCTGAGTCAGGTACAAGAAGCCCTCTAAAAATCAAACTTTCTTTGGGTGCTCTGTGGACGACTGCAACATGAGGCCAAGAACAGCACCGAGCGCTTAACGGAACTCGGCAAATACTGGCTGGATGAAAGGAGGAATATACGTGAGCAGCTACAGAAATCAACACGATGTATAATTACAATGATTCATCTCTAATTCAACAATAATTTAAATCCACTCATGCCCAAAGAACAACAACAGAAAAGAAACAAAAATCTTTCAAAGGATGAAAATTTTATGAGGGTAACCCTCATAACAAGCCAAGAAAAAAATCAGCCAAGATTATACTTGTGTGAAACCACAGGCTACAGATGCTACAGGCTGAGACAGATGAACTCACCTTCATCACCAGCTGTTTAATGAACATCAACAAGAAGGCGCGGAGAGACAGCATTTCTTTCTGATTAGGTCGTGGTCCATCTTTAAAAAAAGACACACGTGCTCTTAGTGTTTCCAAGACTTCAAAGCTGTCTAAGTATAACACTGTCATTCCCAACAGCGTTTCCACCCATTTCTAAGAAATACAAAGGTCTGGGACCAGCAGTTGACGTAACGGTTATGTCACTAGACTCTTATGTAGTTGACCGTGGTTCGCGTCCCGGACCCGGTGGCTTAAACTCACACCAAGGGCATGTGCGTGCGTGCCCAAGATCCCAAGAGGGGAATGGAGGAGAAGGGATTGCGGAGTGGTCATTCTCCCGAGGGGTGATTTCTCGTTTTCTGTCTCTCTGTCACTCTCTGTCTTTCTGGACAGCTCACGTGCCCTGTAACAAAAACCTCTCAAAAAAAAAAAGAAAAGAAATATAAACATCAGTCTTACAAACACGTTCGCCCTTTTACACCTGTAGTAAGAGAAGTGTCCTATAAGGCGTGCGACTGTGCACATCATATTCCGAATGGACAGAATATGTTGAAGCTACAATCAAGCTTGTACTTTGAATAGGAAAAAGAATTTCTAAAACATAAAAGATGACAAACGATGTCTTCAATAATCTGCATTCGTATTTTGTTTTCAAGGATTCTGAGTTTCCAGAAGGTGGTGAAGGAAAATCGCACCCTGACCGTTAGTAGTATATGTGAACTCAGCACAAAGGATATTTGTCCTACTGTTACTATGGAGCAATCAGATACGCCAATTCGAAGCGCATGCCTCACCGCAGTGTCACTCACGGAGAGCACAGACGTTGGCGGACTACCTCTGACATTGCCCTCTCTGCTCAGAAAGCCCGTGGTCACACGTGGCTCACATTAAGTCCATTTTCATGTCTCAGACATAAAATCGCCAAGTGGAAAGCTTCTGAAACTGAACACCCACTGTTCTGAGACCCTAAGGCAGGTACCTGATGGCCTCGTGTATTCTACAATTTTTCCCCCACTAATCACTATTTACGGCTCGTTCCCAGACCACCCAAGCACAGGACCACCATGACCCCCAAACGGATCAACGCAAATAGGGAGAAAATTGTTAAAAATGTCTTCCACATGATGATTCCTAGGCAAACAAAAGACTACCAAGTGAGACAATAACCACGATGATTCCGGATCTCTCATTGGAAGTACGACACTTTCCCAAGGTCTCTAGTCAGTTATTAAATGAAGGCCACAGTTAAAACTAGCACCCTGGACGATCCGCAACGCACCTGGGACACCATGACACAGGCCTCCAGAAACTCCGACCTGGTTCTGGACCGCCACAACCCTCTCAGCTGAAATAAACCACGTCACTTCCTGTGTCCTCACAGCTTGGTCAGGTATCAATATATCATACTCTCTGAGAATATACCAGGTTTATTTTGGGAGTGATATGGGTCCGGTAGGTGGCGTGGTGGTTAAGGTGCTGGTGGTTAAATTCGCGTCTCAGACCCGGTCGGTAGCCTGCTTTGTCACTCTCACTCTCTTTCGCTCTCTCTCTGGTCAAATTGAATAATAATTATAAAATTAAATTAAATTAAGAATTCATTTAAGGAATAAAGACAGTGATAAGAGCAAGTGTTGTACAAATATGAAACCTTGGCTTTGTCAGTCACTGCACAAGCAAAGCCTTTGACGACAATCAGGACGCGTGTTGTCTGACTCCCCATCATCTAGGTCCTCATTTCAAGCAATAATCCTTCATTTGAATCAAGGGCCTGAACCCACCCTCACTCTCAGAGCCCGCGCTTCAATGTGGGAGTGCCTCGGGTCTGGGCAGTCAGAACGGTAACTGCCAGAGACCGGCCCATGGAGGAAGCAGAGAGATTTTTGCTGGAAATACTTGACACGAGCAGGTGCTCTTCTGCTGGATTTAAACAAGTGACGAGGTGAAGGGGGCTTACCTGCTTGCTACTACAAAGGGAGAGAATATTTCAAATCAGGCAACACAGAAGAACTGGTAACCGTAGGGACAAAGTAGGTCCCGCAGCCCTGTTCTGAACTCCTGGACCACGTGGTACCTACGACTGCCGGCTTGCATGCACTAATTCCCTTCTTTGACAACAACCAGTTGGAGGCAGGTTTAGCAACAGTTACAACTAAAAGAGCCACCACCAGGGCCAGTTGGTGACATGGTGGTTAAGGCAGCTGGATCCCACCTGGCCAACTGCGCGGTTCGAGTCCTGAACCCAGCAGCTTGTGCACTTGTGCCCAAAATGCTGAGAAGGAAACGGAGGAGAAGGGATTGCGGTGTGGCTGTCACCCCGGGAGTGGGTTCTACTATCCCTCACCCCACCTCAGCAAGCACATAACAGAGAAAGAACCACCATGTGCCAAAAGCTTTATTTCTTTAAGTTTACTTATTTATTTCTTCCATGACAGTGAGAAACAGAGAAGGAAGGGAAGGAGGGAGAAAGGACAGATAGACAGAGGCAACTCTAAAAGGGTCTCCACACCACAATCTGCCTCCCGACCTCAGCCAGCCCTGATCACAGGTATGCACACACAGGCCTAGCATGTACAAGGCCTCAGGTCTTGAACTGAGGACCTGTTGATACAGATACAGGTGTGTTACACTGTCCCTCTGTCTGGTCCCCAAAACTGACAAATGACATAAACTGGTAATATGACCAAAAAACACCAATAAACACTAAGTCAGTCCTGATTACGCATGAAAATAATTACTGAAATTGGGACCAGCAGTTAGCGTAATGGCTATGTCGCTGGACTCCCACATAGTCGACCGCCGTTCGAGTCCCGGACCCGGTGGCTTAAACTCACGCCGGGCGTGTGTGCATGCGTGCCCAAGATCCTGAGAGGAGAATGGAGGAGAAGGGATTGCGGTGTGGCCATCTGCCCAGGGTGGTGATTTCTCGCTTTCTGTCTCTTTGTCTCTCTCTGTCTCTCCACCAAGCTCACACACGCTATAACAAAAATCTCTCTTTAAAACACACACACACACACACACACACTGAGGGCATAGGCGTACATTCCCTAAAGCTTGACAAGAGGGAGAGGTGGAGGAGGGACTGCTGTGTAACCATCCTCCGTAGGGGAGGGACTGCTGTGTAGCCATCCTCCATGGGGGAGGGACTGCTGTGTAACCATCCTCCGTGGGGGAGGGACTGCTGTGTAGCCATCCTCCGTGGGGGAGGGACTGCTGTGTAGCCATCCTGCGTAGGAAGTGTTTTCTCGCTCTCTCCCTCTCCAGTGAGCACCTGCACACTTTTGGCAAATTAAAGAAGAAAACAGTTCCTTCTCATTGTAGTGCCTTACAAACACCATCCTGTAATATTTGCTCCCGGCATCTCATGTCAGAACACATGATGTCCTTCCATAAAAGCGCAAGTGATGAACTCCTGGCAACCACAATTCAGGACAAACCATTGAAATTGTCAATGGGATTAAAATTAAATCTTGTGTAATGAAATCTGCAAAAACTGAGTAACATGACAGTATCGGTAAAAACCAACCAGAACATGTCAATCCTGCTTTGCCACAAGTGCAATGCGCCGTGCAGACCGAGAGGACGTACCTAACCCTTTGGGGGTGATGCCGCTGCGATCCTGGGGGTTCACTGCCCAGTAGTAGTACTTGAGCGTGTGCATGATGAGAAGCACCGTGCCGACTCTCCGGATGGCGTTGTAGATGTTCACGGTGCCGATGAATTCCGTAGACAGGTAGGTGTACAGCATCAACTGCACCTGCGCGTCCAAACGGAAAGTTACAAGGAAGTCGCCATGGTTTTATCCGCTTTCAGTAACGTTCTCCAGCTGCTGTATTGGCACCACACTCATACCAAAAGTAAGATCCTGAGCTTCATACCAATATCCGTGTTAGAGAACACACATCCACTGACACACACGAACGCACACGCACACACACACACACACATACATTCCCCGTGAAACCAAACAAGGGAATTTCTTCTTTTATAGCAGCATTATAAAGTAAACACTTCCAGGACCAGCAGTTAACATAATGGGGTAGGATTTTGTTCTTCAGTCTATATTGCGTTTATTTGGTTGTTTTTTTCCCTTTATTTTAGCAAAAGGAGAGGTAGTTTATTAAATAAAGATGAAAGTGCACCCCTGAGAGGTAGAAGCGAGCCTCAGTGGACAGAGAGGGGCTCAAAGGCCCTGGCAGTTCCATCCTGTGAGGTTTATCATTTTTTAATCTCTTTATATCTATTTTTAAAATACTCTCCCCACCAATTCTTCTGGCAGCCAAGACTGAGAACGCCTGCTCTAGGGAAACCTTTTGGTACCTGCCTAGCTAGTCACTGAGGCTGTTTGCATTTTTAAGCTAGAAGACCTACAAGAGAGAATGGGCATGAAGACTAACTAGGCAAGGGACTAGACCATTCTGGAAACAATGCGACACTGGTAAAAGTGATGAGGCCAAGAAATGATCTGATGAGAGTGCATGCGCAGAACACACAGGAGGCCCAGCCACAGATGCAGTCTTTGGTGCACTAAACACTACATGGTCAACCACAGTTTCGAATCCCTGGCCTGGACCACCTCAACCACGCCGGGCTAGCGCACACACCTAACATCCTGACGGGCTAGAGAGAGGGAACTGTGGCATGGACAGACGCTGTCAAGGGTCCTCCTCTCTCTACCATGAGCAAGCATATGCTCTCTACTATGAATAAGAAGAGGAAAAAGAAAAACAGAGAAAATCCAGCCATAAAGTGATAAGTTAGGAAAATAAATGGAAAACTGGCAAATGTCAAGTCTATTGAGAATGATATAATGATAAAAGAAAAATGAACAGGATCTAATAACAATATATAGAGATGAATGAAAGTAAAGCCCTCAAGATTAATCGCAGGCCAATTATGAATAAATCTTACTGAATTTAATTATCGTGCAATCTAATAACCACACAAATTGTATGTTAACATCTGAATTTCCCAGTAGATCCGAATTCCATGACAGCAAAGATCAAGTCTGCCTTGTGTACCCCCATATCCACAGTACCCAGCACAAGGTAGTCACTCAACAAATACTTGATACATGAAGGACCACTGTCAGTGAGTAAATTTCTATCTCCTGCTAGGTCTCTAGAAAGATTGCCTCTAAGTAGATGTAAGATAAATGAAAATGGTAAATCATTAAAATTTCCCTTTTCCAAAAGCAAAGATAGATTCATCTATCTGTACCTTCAGCTTTGGTAACCTGGTGGTTGGTAGATTTGCCATGAGTCCTAGGGAGCTTAAAGCTTACACTCATCTATCCACACAGGTCCCCTTCAGGACTCTAAACATAATATTGTGAGCATTTCATTGTAGTCGTCTTCTTAAAGAGCTCCTCCCACCAACAGCCATCTCCCTTCTCTGCTCCAAGCAAAAAAGTTTGACATTCTCGGCCAACAAAATGGGGGTCTGCCCTTCCTTAGAACTATAATATTAATACCTTTGTAATAAAAGAAAAGCAGAGAAAAACCCTTCATGGATATAAAGACTGCCGAAAGAGAAGGCATGTTAAATCTTATCAAATCAAATTCGAAAAATAAATGTAATGAAAGTAAGATAAAGAGTTTAATAATACTAGGAACCTAATGAAATTTTTTAAAATAAATTTTTTTTAAAAATTCCCCTACGACTAAGTATCTAATAAAAGGTTTTCTCACCGCATCAAATCGAACAGACATATGCAGGTTAGTAAGACAAAAAAAGTACCTAGCAAAAAGTTGAGAACGTAACTAGAAACAATCCCTGAAAAGAAAGAAGACAGAGGGTCAGGGAAGAGAAAGAGGTCAAATTTAACCTGGAGATAAAAAGCCACAACCTCCAGCTGCCTCCTTTGATTATTTCCAAACTGCAATCAGAGCCAGCAGCTGCTGTTGTCTTTAGCATTTGAAGAGAACAGCTGAAAATAAGATATTTGAGTCTAGACAAGCAAAAGTTCACAGCCAAGGAGAGTAAGAATGTGCCGTCCAACGTAAACAGTGATACACGGTCTGAAATCACACAACTCCTGCTAAAAACTGTGCGGAAGATGGATACAAGTATGCAATTTAACAAAATCTTCTCTTTCCCGTTTTCCTTAATACTACCACTACCGCCCGATTTGGAGGAGAACTTAATATGGGGATTTATTAAAGATTGGGCCATATCCTCTTACCAATTCATTTATATTCACACGGAAATAACTCACCTGTTGCTGTGCTACCAAAAAAATTTATTTTATGCAAAAATGTGGTTTTTATAATACCAATTGTGGAATTTAAATAATGAAATGACACAAGTGTATGAGGTCTTCAAGGAAAGGGGTGACATGTCAGTTATCCCTGTAAGAATGACAACTCGAAGAGTTTATCACATTGGCGGACGGCAAAGTATGTTAAAAAAAAAAAAAAAAAGGCAGCAGAAACAGGGTAGGTTGGTAGGAAACAGAGTGGGTGGGAGCATACCTCGATGCATATTTACAGCAGAACAGGAGCTGCACTTGGCAGAAAAGAAAATATTTACATTGAAACCATCCAACTTTGATTTATATTTAGTGAACAAAAACTCTCTCAAGTAAAATTTTAATTACATTAGAAAATAAAGATCACAGCTCTGCAGCGACATAGCTTTTCACAAAACTCCAAGAATTGAATGTATGCATAATAGTAAATAAATAAATAAATAAATAAATAAATAAATAAATAAAACTCCAAGAAAACGTAAACTGACTTGCAAATTTGCCTGAAAAGAAAAAACAGTAAGCTTAGTCAAAAAAAAAAGACAGTCCACTCAAATCTAACATCACGGCATATGAAACAATAAAAGAAATGCTTATAATTCTCTCTCCTCTCAATCAAGCACAAAAATTGCACAAAGATAGCAAAACAAAGGCCATCTATCGACCTAGATTACCTTGGCTGGGGTATGAATCCATATGGCAGGATTAAGAAGAATGTGATCACACAACTGCTTGAGCAGGGGCATCCCATTCTGCAGGTTACTCAGGTATTTTGAAAATGCAAGGCAAAGTTCAAGGACAGCTCTGCTGACATGGGATTTGGAAGACTGCAAAGAAGAGTCCAAAGGTCATTACTAAGTCAGAGCAAAGGAAGTCCCAGGCTGTCAAGAGCAGAAATAAGCTGGCCCACCCACCCTGTGACTCACTACCACATTTCTTTCACAGAGGCGATAACACAACAGAACGGTTATTTCGATTGAGGTAACCTTCTGTAACCAAGGAAACATGCAGAAAGTATTGCTTAACCACGCAGGAGAACAAGCACGCAGGCTGCGAATCAAGAAACAGAAACCTATCGCACTCTATACTTTACCTTTTCAAGGCTATATCCTATTACCAAGAAGCCCTTGCAGGCGAGCATCTGCTCCTGCATAGCGATCGAGTTCTTCAACAGCTCCATGATAAAAGACAGCAAGGTTGAACTAGAGGAAGAAAAAGGGCGAGGGTTTGAAAAAATATATTCTATTTTTAACAATTAGGTTAGAGATATATAGCCTTCCATTTATATTAAAAAGCTCTCCATTTCAGGGCTGGCAGGTGGCATGGTGGTTAAGGTGCTGGATTCCCACATGGCTGACCACAGTTTGAGTCCTGGACCTGGAAGCTTGCTTTCTCACTTTCCGTCTCTCTTTCTCTTTCTCTCTCTCTCTCTGTCTTTCTGGGGTAAAATTTTAAAACATAAATAATAATAGCAAATAAAATCAATAAAAAATATCTTTAAAAAAATGTTCTCCATTTCAAAAAAAAAATGAAGCTGGGCTCATTCTGTTCTGTTATTTCAGAACCTGATTTTTTAAAAATAATTATTTAATTTTACTTGTTTATTCATTTATTTTAATTTGACCAGAGAGAGACACAGAAAGTGAGAGAGAGAGAGAGAGAGAGGGAAAGTGAGAAAGCAAGGTTCCAGGCTCAGGACTTGAACCACAGTCAGACATGTGACAGTCGGGCACCTTCACCATCATGCCATCCGCTGACCTCAGAACAAGATTTTAAATTTAGGATTAGGGTTTACTCAACTATTTATTTCACATAGTTTACCACAAACCTGTTAATAAGCAATAATGTAGAAACAATGTGAAAAATATGCATGGTACAGAGGAGAAAACAGCAACATTCAAAAGCAAGTTGTAGGAATGGCCAGGCTAAACAGCAGCACAGCAGTCGGTCACCGTGCCCGGCCAGGCTGACCCCGTGGGAAGGTTTCGGGGTTGCATGCAGAGACCTCCCTGAGTGCACTGGGCATCTGTGAGCCCGTGATCTGGGGCTGACTAGGGCTGGAGGGTGGACTATAGCACAGAGATGCAACTGAAGGTGCTGTTTTTCTCTCTCTCTCTCTCACTCATGGAAAAAAAATTAATAAACTTTTTTTAAAAGTTTTAGAAATGGCTAACAGAAGTATGTTAGGCCTGAAAAAATGGATGCAACTTAGAGAAGCAGTGCATTCAATTGTGGAAGGTTTGGGGACCAAAGAAGGGAAAGAACAGCAGAGCAGGCAAAGTTCAGTCCTCAGAATGAGTTAAGACTCCAGGCTGGCCTGGTTTGAGTGGAGAGGAGGGTTCCCGGCAGGGAAGAAGGTACACTTAATTTGGAGACAGACTTGAGGTCTTTGAACACGACGAATATAAGAAGTCTGTCCACTACCCCAACAAGAGAATCATAATTCTCCACTTAGTCTTAAACACTTTTTAAAACTTGAACACAACTAGGTTCCACTCTCCACAGCCTCAAAGCTACTCAAGAGGAAAAGGAGTAAGATCGGCTGTTACCACCTTCTCAAAGGCTCTGAGAGATTCTCACGGAAGACAGAAGACGGGCAGCCAGTTTCCTCCACATCATGCTTTAACTGCCAGCAATTCCAATAAAGGTCTTAAAAAGTTAAATTAAGAAGTAAATAAAATTAAAATAATGGGGTTAGCAAGTGGTGCAGTGATTAAGGTGCTGGATTCCCACATGGTTGGCAGAGGTTTGAGTCCTGGACCTGGTGGCTTGACACTCACACTGGGTGTGTGTGCGTGTGTGCCTAAAATCCCAAGAGGACAATGGAGAAGAAGGGATTGTGGTGTGACCAGCCCCCCTGGGGGGTGATTTCTCACTTTCTACCTTTCTGTCTCTCTCTGTCTTTCTGGCAAGCGCATGCACCCTATAGCCAACAAAAAAAAAGAAACAAAGGATTGTGGTGCGGCCATCCCCCTGGGAGCTGATTTCTCACTCTCACTCTCTCTCTGTCTCTCTCTGGTGAATGTATGCTCCCTATGATAAAACCAAAATATATACATATTTAAATATTTTTAAAAATGTAATGCTACAATAAATCTGAGAGGCAAAGAAAATATTATGACACCCAACAGAAATAAAAGTAACTCTCACCCCAAAGAAAAGGAAGAAAGAAAGGCACTCACCAGATAGTCAAGTCAACCTCATCGGATGAGTATTGCCTGTAGTCCAGCTGTGCAAAAAGTGGGAACAGCACTTGAACGCCTCCAATTGAATGCATAGCGCTCTGGATGGAATGCGTTAGGACCGCCTTCACATCCTTGTAAGACAGAAACCACAGAAAAAAGTTCAACAATTTCTTCTCCAAAGCAATTCAAAATGCAGCACAGTGGGAAATGCAGGGACACTAAAATGTGACATTCTGTGTGTCTAACAGAGCTACCAAATAAACCTCAACAATGAACAGCGAAGTGCCATTAAAAGTATCCTTAACAGACCACAGTTAGTACCTGGAGCATGAGGGCGTGCGGCGAATGAACGAAAATGGAAGGGTTGTCCTTCGGAGACGACTCGAGGCAAAGCTGGGCATCTGTGGCCCGTGGGTTGTACGTGAACGCAATGGCACTGGAGAGCTTGCCATCATAGAGCAGAAGTTTGTGATGCTCGGCAAGAAAAAGATCGCTTTCAGCTTTGAATTTAAATGTACCCTGCAAAGTAATAGAAAGGAAAATAGTTAAGATCATTTGCCCTCCAAAAAGAAAATCTAAATATAAACCATTAAAGATAAAAATATCGGGGGACCAGCATGTGGCATGGTGGTTAAGGAACTGGACACTCCCACACGGCCAACCACGGTTCAAGTCCTAGACGTGGGAGCTTGATTTCTTATTTTCCCTCTCTCTCGTTCGCTCTCTCTGGTCAAATGTTTAAGAGGTTTTTGCTATAGGGCATGTGTGCTCACCAGAAAGACAGAGAGACAGAGAAAATGAAAGTGAGAAACCACCCTTCAGGCTAGATGGCCAAGCCGCAATCCTTTCTCCTCCATTCTCCTCTTGGGATCTTGGGCACACACACACACACATGCCCGGCATGAGTCTAAGCGTCCAGGTCAGGGACTCAAACCGCGGTCAAATACATAGGAGTCCAGCAATATAGCCATTACGCCAACTGCTGGTCCCAGAATTTCCTTGTTTGTAAGGCTGAAAAAGATTCCATTGTCTATGTGTATGTATAACACAGTTTCACTAGCTCCTCATCTGTCGAAGGATATTTGCGTTACTTCTATCTGCTGCCCATTGTGAAGAATGCTGCTATGAACATGGGTGCACAGATATCTTTGTCATTCTACTTTCAAGACACTTCTGTAAACAATTAAATCAGGCAGGCCAACAGATGGCATAGCAGCTACGTTACTGGACTCCCATATGGCCGACCACAGTCAGAGCCCTGGACTTGGTGGCTTCAAACTCATGTTGGATGCATGTGTGTGTGCCTAAGATCCCAAGAGGAGAATGGAGAACAGACTGCGGTGTGGCCATCCCTCCCCTCCCCCGGGGTGATTTCTCGCTTTCTCTCTCTCTCCGTCTCTCTCTCTCTCTCTGTCTCTCTCTGGTGAGCAAACACCCTATAGCAAAAATCTCTCCAAAAACAAATAAAACAATGCTACCAACCATTTAGTCCATGTCAAACCAAATCAGAATCCATGGATTTCACAATCTCAGTGTAGCCTCTTTCACATGATGAACTAAGGAAAAATGAGTGTCTTTTGAAGATTAGGAAACAAAACAGTCAGAAGGCGCCAAATCAGAACTGTCCAGTGGATGCCTAATGACATCCCATCAAAACGCTATTAAAGAGTGTTCTTGTTTGATGACAGAAATGAGCATTGTGGCGGTGGAGAAGGGCTCACTGGGGAAGCCTTCTCAAGCATTTTTCTGATAATGTTCTAACAAACTTTCTCAGAACACATTAACAAGCAGCTGTTACTGCTCTTTGGCTCTCAAACCCAACCACTGAAATGCCTCGAGTATCCCAAGAACACTGTCCCTATGACCCCTGCTCTTGCCTGGCCCGCGTCTACCTCTTGGCAGCCATTGTTTTCATTGTGCTCTGTCTTTAGGACTGAGCTTGCAAAGGTTTCACTTCAGTTAAAATTCTCCAAAGAAATGCTCCAGGGCTATAGAGAGCCCTCTTGTATAGAAAACGGACTCTGCCGAGCAGACCGCACTGAGCAGCAGACAAGTCTGACACGTACAGCCCAATCCCTCACTTCACCTGCCAGACAGAGGGTGTCACAGGAACACCCAAACCTGGTAACTCCAATCAGTGGTCCACCCAGACATGGACAGATTCACCATTCGCCACTCTTAGACACACGAGCTCATCTAAGAGCCTGCATCCACTTAGGGGCATAAGGACAGCCCTCCCCAGAGCCACTTCACCATTCACTCCTGGTGCTGGGACCAGAGCACACTGCTCCCAGTCACTCTCCGAGACCCGTGGACCAAGGTATCTGAGACTTGGTATCTCAGACTCTACTAGTGACTTGCTGTCTCCATCCCAACCTCAAAACCTATGCTTGGACCCTTTGTGAGATCCCCAGGAATGGCTCAGACCAGTTGTCAATGCAGTTTCAGCAGATGCTTGGGACACCTGGGGACCCACGATGGGCTCTGTGCCTCCCAAGGCTGCTCAGAGTGACAGACGCACGCATGTTGAGCTGTTCTCATCCCTTGACCTGATGGCTTTGCTATGCTAAACTCAAAGCCGTGCTATAAAGTCGGGCATTACGGAAAAACACAAATGCATCCACGTTCTTATTCCCTGGCTTGCGACAAGAATTTTGTTCCCAGTTGTTTAAAATTGTCATTGAAAGTCCTGCTCTTGTCAGCAAACTAGGCACAAGTTTTGGTACCCATGGAGCAGAAAGCTTGTCCAATTTTGACTTTTGTGTCAGTATTGTGTTAGCTGAACCAATTGAGATGTCTATGGTATTGTTTTTTCCATTGTTAATCGTCCGTCCAGTCTCTTCAATTATGGCAATAACAACACTAACTTTTTCCCCAGATGGTCTGTTGCTGCAGGCGTCATCGTATCATCTTACCCCTTCTTAAGATGAGTTATCCATTTGTCAACTGTTGATTTCTTTGGGGAACTGTCCCAGCCGACTTTTTATAAAACATCACTGAAGGAGCGAGCAGATGGTGTAGCGGTTAAGTCACTGGACTCCCCATGGCCGACTACAGTTCAAGTCCCAGATCCGGTGACTTAAACACTCACACCAGGTGTGTGTGCAGATGTGCCCAAGATCCCAAGAGGAGAACGGAGAAGGGACTGCAGCGCGGCCACACCCACATTGAAGGGTGATTTCTCTTTCCTTATCTCTCTCTCTCTCCCTAGCAAGTGCACATGCCCTATGGCGAAAACCTCTAAAAACGAAACAAAAAGCATCACTGATATTATCATTCTTCCACTGAAGCTTCACCATAAATTTGATGTTTGTTCTTGCTTCAATTTTGGCAGAATTCTTGTTGCTCTGACAGAGGATCCTTTCCAACTGATTTCTTCCTCTTGCTAGTGCTTCAAACTAGATGCCATTCAGACATGTTATACTAAACTAGTGTAAGTTAATTTTGGTGCAAAATAATTTTGAAATCTATGAATAGTTTTTTAATAATACACGATTTCTATTAATTTTGAAGATCCCTAATGCAAGAGTTCATTCTATTCCACTGGCCTGTTTGTCTATCTTTATGCAAGCCTGAGATGTTTTGATTACAACACCTCTGTAATGAGCTTTCAAATCCAGAATTATAATGATTCCAACTTTGTTCTTTTTAAGATTGCTTTGGCTAATTAGGATCCCTTAAGATGCCATACAAATGTTAGGATTTTTTTTTTTTTTTTGAGAGGTTTTCGCTATAGGGCGCGTACGCTCGCCAGACAGACAGACAGAGACAGAGAGATAGAAAGCGAGAAATCACCCCCCAGGGGGGATGGTCACACCACAATCCCTTCTCCTCCATTCTCCTCTAGGGATCTTGGGCACGCACGCACATGCGCCCGGCGTGAGTTTTAGGCCACCGGGTCCGGGACACGAACCGTGGTCGACTACGCGGGAGTCCAGCGACATAGCCAATACGCTAACTGCTGGTTCCCGAGGATGGTTTTTTGACTTAAACAAGAAATGCCTTTAGGATGACAGGAATCGCATTGTAAGTACAGACTGCACTGGATAGTATGGAATTTAAATATATTAAGTCTTCATGTCATGTATACAAGATCTCTCCGTTTATCAGTGCCTTCTTTAGTTTTCTTTGACAATATTTTGTTCATTTCAGTATGCAATTCCTTGGCTTTCTTAGTTGAGTTTATTCCTAAGTATTCTATTCTTTTTAAATGCTACCATAAAAGAGACTGTTTTACTTTCCTTTACAGAATGTTCATTGTTAGTCTAGAGAAAGAATCCCAACTGATTCTGTGTGTTGATTTTCTATCCTACAAATGTGATGCGTTAATTTTACTATTTAACAGGTTTTGTTGAAATCTTTAAAGTTTGGACGTACAAGATAAAACCACATGCAGAGAATTTTATTTTCCAATTTGGATGCTTTTTATTTCTTTTTCTTGCCCAATGGCTCTAGCTAGGATCTCCAAAACTATATTGAAAAGAGAGGCGATTACAACCCTTACCTTGTTGCTCTTAGAGAAAGCTTTCAGTTTGACTCTACTGAACAAGATATTAGTTGTGGGCTTTTCACACATGGTCGGAATTTCTCTCTCTCTCTCTCTCTCTCTCTCTAATTTGCTAGACGGTGCATGCACTTTCCAGAGAGATGGGAAGTGGGGGCAGTAAAAAAGTACCTCTCTTGAGAAATGGTCATGCTCCCTTCTCCATTTCCCTCTCCTTTCGGGATTTTGAACACGTGTGTACACACACCTGATTGTGCTTCTCAGAGCTTGAACTACACAGTCAGCCACGTGGGCTCCAGCCACCTTAACTACCATACTGTGAGCTGGCCCTGGTCTTTTTTCTTTTTTTTTCAAATAAGTACAGACAGACAGAAACAGAGATCCCTTTCTTAGTAGCCCCAAAAGGAGCCTAACAACATAATCTCCCCTCAGCTTCGGGCAACCCTGGATCATGGGCACACATGTGCACTGCACACTCAGGGAGGTCTCCAGACGTACGCCCAGAACCTTCCCATGTGGCTCAGCGGGGGGAGTGTCATGTTTTACTACTGCACCGTCGTCAAGCCCCCACAGATGATCTTTACTATGAAAAGGCAGTTTCTTTCCATCCATAGCCTGTTGAGTACTTTTACACAAGGAAGGGTGCTGAATTTTATCAACTGCTTTTCCTGCTTCACTTGAGATGATCGTGTGGTTTTTGTCATTTAGTCTGTTAACGTGGCGTATCACACCGAATGATTATTCTGTGTGTTGAATCATCCTTCCGTTCTAGGAATACATCCCTCTTTGTCATTGTGTATAATCCTTTTAACACAGGTTGAATACGGCTTGCTAATAATCTGTTGCGGATTTTCTGTCAATATTCATCAGTGGCACGGGCCTGTAATTATTATTTTTTTCATTTTAATTTTTTCACTATGCAGTGCAAGTGTTTGCCAAAGAGAGACAAGAGACAGAAAAGGAGAAGGCACCCCCCCCATGTGGAGGGGGTCACATCACGGTCCCTTCCCATCACTCCATTCCATGGGATTTTCAGTACACAAGCACATGTGCCTGATACGTTTCTCAGATCACCAGGTTCAAGACCTGAATCACGTGGTCGGTCATGTGACATCCACGGGCCACGGAGCTATAATTTGTTTTCTTGTATCATCTCTACTTGGCTTTGGCATCAGGGCAGTGATGACCTCACAAAATAAGTCAGGAAGTGTTCCTTCCTCTTCAATGAAGTGGAAGAGTTAGAGGATTAATGCTAATTTCTCTTTAAACACTTGACGGAATTCTCAACTAAGGCTACCTGGTCATGGGATTTACTTTGTTGGAAAGTTTATATTACTAATTCAATCTCCTTACTAGCTACCAGTCTCTTCAGATTTCCAACTTCTTCCTGACTCAGGTTGGGTTGCTTCTCAAAATGTATCCATTTCTTCTAGATTATCTAATTTGTTAGAAAAGAATTATTTTCCGTAGTCTTTTATAATCCTTTTTATCTCTATGGCCTTAGTTATAATGTCTTCTCTTTTATTGAAGATTTTTCGCTTGTTTTGTTTTGTTTTGTTTCGTTTAATTCATGGTGGAGAGCATATGAGAAGGAGAACACTCCCGACAAGGTCTGGTCACACCGTGGCTCTTTTCCCTCTAGTTTTCCATCCCATCAGAATCTTGGGCGCACATAGGCGAGCCCAGCATAAAGCCAACAGGGCCAGGATTTGAACCTATGTTGTTCATGTAGGATCTGGCTTCCTCTACACAGAATCTAAGCACTGCATTTTGAGCCCAGCCCTTCCCTTTCATCTCAGAGTTCAACAGAGTCCTCTTTTTTCTTAGTCTCGCTAGAGGTTTGTCCATTTTTTCACTGATGTTTTTTCTACTTCTTTTCTCTTCTTTCTTTATCTTTGCTCCGATTTTTGTCATTTCCTTCTCTCTGCTAATTTGGGGGTTACCTGTTCTTTTTTGTCTAGTTCCTTGCAATGTCAACTTAGGTTGCTGATTTGAGATCTTTCTTCTTTTATAAAGTGAAGTGCTTACTGCTATAAAGTTGTCTCTAATTATTATTCCTTTCACTGAATGTGGTAAGTTTTGGTATGCTGTGTTTCATTTTTAATTGTCTTTATATATCTTTTAATTGCTTTTCTAATTTCTTCTTTGACCCACTGGTTATGAGAGAGTATGCTGATTAACCTCCTCATGTTTGTGGACCTTCCCATTACCTGTTAGCTACTGGTTTCTAGGCTCATTCCGCTGGGATTAAAAAAAAAAAAAAGGATAGTGTGATTTTGATCTTCTTAAATTTGCTAACATTTGTTTTGTGGCCTAACATGTGGTCCATCCTGGCAAATGTTCCTCGTGCACTTGAGAAGAAAGCGTACTTCACAGCTGTTGCATGGAGTGCTCTGTACAGGTCCTTCAAGTCCAGCTGGTCTGTAGGGCTGTTCACGTCATCTGTTTCCTTATTGATCTCCGGTCTAGCTGCTCTATCATTGAGAGCTGAGTATTGAAGTCTCCTACCATTACTGTGTTGCTGTGTACTTCTCCCTTCGATTCTGACAAGAGTTGTTTTATGTATTTGAGAACTCTAATGTGAAGAGCCAGATCCTACATGGTCAACCATGGTTCAAGTCCTAGCCCCAGCAACTTGAGTAACAAGCCAGGTGAGTGCATGCTTACCCATCACCTCAACTAGACAGAGAAATGGAGAAGATTACTAGTAATGGTAGGGCCATGTCCCTCTGGGGAGTGCTTTCTCATGTTCTCTGTCTCTCTCTGGTGAGTGTATGCACCTCTAGCAATCATTGTTTTTAAAGTCTGTATATAGGGGTCAGATGATACACTGATTAAGGCACTGGAATCCCCATGGCTGACTACAGTTGGAATTCTAGACTTGGCTGTTAAAACTTGCACCAAGCATGTGTGCGCATGCCCAAGATCCCAGGAGGAGAATGGGGAAGAAGGGATTGCAGCAGGGCCATCCTCCCTGGAAGATGGTTCCTCACTTTCTCTGCTTCTCTGTCTCCCTCTGGGTGTGTGTGTGTGGGGGGGTCTCCAGCAAGCACACACACCTACAGCAAAAATGTCTTTTAAAAAAATGTTAAAGTCTGTATATGATAAAAGAGGTATATCTACAATACATAAAGAAATCTCAAAAGTCAATAGTACAAAAACAAACTAACAAAATGGGCAATAGATTTGAACACACACTTCATAAAAGAAGATACGCAAATAGCCAGTAAGCAGTGAAAAGATCCTCTGCCTCTCTAGTCAACATAATAATGCAAATTAAAACTACAATGAGATACTACTACACACTCACTCTAAAGTCTAACACTAAAACAACTTGACAGGCCCGGCTGGGACTGCATGCACTGTGCAGACGCTGTGCTCTGATGGTGTGACCATACGGGAGGCCTGTATTTGATTCTCAGTCCAACCTAAGGCCAGGCACAGTGGCATGAGTCTACAATCCCAGCAACTCTAAGAAGCTGAGGCAGAAAGACTGTGACCTCCAGGCTGGCCTAAGTGCCACATTAAGCCAGGCATGGTGGTGCATGCAGACAGTGACAGCTGCAAGGCTGATGCAGGAGGCCTAGCAGTAAGACCCTGTCTTTAAAAATAAATAAATAAAACCTAGAAAGTATCAGATATTAAAAATGTAGACTCTCAGGACCAGCAGTTAGTGTAACGGCTATGTCGCTGGACTCCCATGTAGTCGACCGTGGTGCGAGTCCCGAATCTGGTGGCTTAAACTCACGCCGGGTGCGTGTACGTGTGTGCCAAAGATTCCGAGAGGACAATGGAGGAGAGGGATTTGTGGCGTGGCCATCCTCCCTAGGGGGTGATTTCTTGCTTTCTGTCTCTCTCTCTCTCTGTCTTTCTGGCGAGCGCACGCGTCCTATAGCGAAAAAAAAAAGTAGATTCTCATACCGTAACTGAGTAAAAGTAAATCTGTACAACCACTGTGAGCATGAGCTTGGTAATTCGGATTACCATATCACCTAGCAATTCTAATCTTAAGTATTTATGAAAGAGAAATCCATGTCTACACAAACACTTTTAGATCCATGCTCATAGCAGTTCACTCAAAAGGAACTAGGAACACCCTAAATGTCCATCAGCAGATAAATGCACTAAAAAAGCATGCCAAGTTCTTACAAGGAAATACTACTCAGTGCTTAGAAGAACAAGCACACTGATTCAAAACATCACGGATGGACCTTAGAACATGCTGAGAAGATAGGAAACCGACAGGCACACATACCACCCGATTCTATTTACATAAAACAAATCCAACACACAGTGACAGAAAACAGATCAGTGGTGCCTTGTCCACGGGAGGGACAGGGTTAGGGGAGTGAAAACAACTGAGTGGGAAAGAACACCAGGGAAATTTCCGCGGTGATGGAAATGGTCTAGTTCTTTTTTTATTTGAGAGATTTTCATTGTAGGGTGCGTGTGCTCGCCAGACAGACAGAGAGAGACATAGAGACAGAAAGCGAGAAATCACCCCCCAGGGGGGATGGTCACGCCGCAATCCCTTCTCCTCCATTCTCCTCTCGGGATCTTGGGCACGCACGCACACGCGCCCGGCGTGAGTTTTAAGCCACCGGGTCCGGGATGCGAACCGCGGTCGACTATGTGGGAGTCCAGCGACATAGCCATTACGCTAACTGCTGGTTCCCGAAGTGGTCTAGTTCTTGACTGTGATGGTAGCTATGCTTTTGTCAAAATTAATTTTAAAACATGTATATTATATTAACTGTAAATGGTCTAGAAGGTAGCTCAAAAAAAGTTGCATTTTGTGAACAGCAGACATTAAATTTCCCCCTGAAACCAAACTTGAGACTATCGGTGAACCCACAGATTCTCAACATTTTTAGTTCGTGATATGTTATCATTTCAGTAACTTTTTCATGGAAGCTCTTTGTCAAAATAAATAGTAAACATTTCTGTTTGTTAAGTTGTTTGGGCCAAACAAGTGTGTAGTCTAAAAAATGTAGTGAACAGTTGGAAAAATTAACATGCAAGTTGAGAGAAAAATGTACATGTTTTCATCATTATAATACCAGAATGATTTATGGATGAGACATATGTGCATGGGCCAAATACAGATTCTCAAGCCTTGAAATCAGATTGTACACCATTATCCTCATTTCCTGTCTATGGTTTCAACATAGTACTTGCCACCTTTTGTTTTCTCTTTCTTTCTTTCTTTGCCAGAGGGTGTGTATGCTCAGCAGACAGGGACACAAGGAAAAGGAGGAAGCAGCCCCAGCAGGGCAGCCACACCACAATCCTTCTCTTCATCCTGTCAGGGTATGGCATGCTCACACAGCCAGCATGGTTCAGGCTGTCACTGAGGCGGCGATTCAAACCGCTTGGGCAGCCATGTTGGATGAGGCTCCCTCAACCACCAGTCCACAAGGCTGGCTTGGCACTTGCCTTTCGATCACAACTATCACGGGGATAGCTGTGCAAAGGAATGATGTCATCGAAAGATATGCAGCATGAAGAGAAACTGCAGCATGGGTGGGGAACCAGCACAGTGATTCAGACAGGTCAAGTACCCTGCATTTCTCTCGAGGCTGCAAGTACTCTTCGGACTTCCCTGTGGTGCTTCCAGATAGCTAGGCATGGAGTTGGTAACCCAAGGTAGCTCTCCCCACGCATGACCTCCCTCCACAACAAGCTCAACTAACGTAAGTACGTACCTTGTATCCCAGGCCCAGCTGATAAATAGCAAAAATCTGGGCTGCGTTAAGAGCTTCACTGAACAGGTAAACTGCAGTCATCTGACCACAGAACACTCGATTTGCATCTGCGGTTTCTGACGAGCCCAGGAAACATTTGTCGAAGGTCTGTGAAAAAAGATGGAACATTTTACTTGACAAAAATAAAAAAATGATAGCCTCCAGAAACAATGAAAATCTATATTGGTATAAATGTTATGTTCATTTTAAGCTGTACTCGAACAGATTAAAATAAGTCATTTTACTTCATTTATTCACATCTGGAGTGGAGATCAAGAAAGCTCATAGAAAAGGAATTAACGCAAGATTAAATTGCAATAAACACAACTTATGGACAAAGTGGAGGCAAAAAAACAAATCAGAGAAATAATGATGGCTCTGAAGTTTCAGAGTTGAGCAACCAAAATCCAGACAGAGAGCAGGTTGTCAAGAAAGAAAAAAATACTCAGTGAGTTAGGTTTGGCACACGGTGAACCAGCCTTTTCTGTGTGTTAATATGGATGAAGAAGCAGATGTCAATGGGGTTCTGTACGTTCTGTAAGAAGATAAAGCTGGAAAGATACATTTTTGCAGATGTCAACATAAAAATAATGGGTGAAGCCACAAGGGTAGACCAATCTATTAAAACAAAAGTGTAAATCCAGAAAAGTGGGCATAGGATTATTTTCTAACATGAAAAAAATATCCTGTTAATAATCCTGTTAATATCCAGGTGGTAAGGACCACATTTTTAAATCCCACATGTAAAACAAAGAGGAAAAAAGAGTTTTCATGTCTCTTCAAAACAATCATTTTAGGGAACCAGCAGTTAGCGTAATGGCTATGTCGCTGGACTCCCACGTAGTCGACCGCGGTTCGCGTCTTGGACCCGGTGGCTTAAATCTCACGCCGGGCGCGTGTGCGTGCGTGCCCAAGATCCCAAGAGGAGAATGGAGGAGAAGGGATTGCGGCGTGACCATCCCCCCTGGGGGGTGATTTCTCGCTTTCTGTCTCTATGTCTCTCTCTGTCTGTCTGGCGAGCGCACACGCCCTATAGCAAAAAAAAAACTCTCCAAAAAAAAAAAAAACAATCATTTTATACCATGAAGCCATCAGGAAAAAAATAATGATGAGAGGTAGGCACATACTGACATTGGAAAATATAGAAACTTCGTCACTTGCATTGTCAAGCCGAATCAATGATTCGAATCATTTATTCAAGTGGATCAAATCTGTGCTTCTTACTCTGAAACCAAGCACAGATCCCCTAAAGTGTTTTCTAAGGTTCTTGAAATACAAGGTCCATTTACACTGTAAGAGCCCAGAGTAAGGGGTGAGTCTTCAGACTTTGGTTATGATAATGAAACAACACTGACCATGAATGAGGGCCATTTGCCCTCTAAAACTCTCACTTACAGGAAGGTAAGGTTTTCATTTCAATATGGAAGATGTGTTGTAGGCTGGAAACTGCTGGCTGTGAGCTCAGCCTAGGCGGAATGGCTCCAGAAACCTGAACAGAATTTGATTATCTAAGGCCTCACCAATCAAGAACACCCTAAGAGATGATCATGTCCTCTTGAACCAATCACTGAACTAATCACAAGCCTGGGACCTCTGCCCCTAAATTTGCCCTTAAAAAGACATGTAGGGAACATCAGCTCTCCTTGCTTTGCGCTTTCCGATCAACCTGGACTTTCCTTCATCACACCAAGTGCCTATGGTTTGATTTTGGTTTTTTTGGAGAGGTTTTCGCTACAGGGCGTGCGCGCTCACCAGACAGAGCGAGATATAGAGACAGAAAGCGAGAAATCATCCCCCAGGGAGGATGGCCACGCCGCAATCCCTTCTCCATTCTCCTCTCGGGATCTAGGGCATGCACGCACACGCGCCTGGCGTGAGTTTTAAGCCACCGGGTCCGGGACGCGAACCGCAGTCGACTACGTGGGAGTCCAGTGACATAGCCATTACGCTAACTGCTGGTTCCCCCCATGGTTTGGTTTTAAAGCACTTGGACGAGCGAACATGATTTGAGTTCAGTAACAACGCTACTGAACATGGCAAGTTACTTAATCTCTCTGTGCTCCACAAGGCTGCTGGAGCTTCTGGAAAACAAAAGTATCTATTATAATCTGGAATACAAGAAACACTCAGTAAAGGTTAAGGTAAGGGAAAAAAACAGGTTATAAAACAATATGCACGGAGGCCAACAGGTGGCGCGGCAGTTAAAGTGCTGGACTCTCACATGGCCAACCACAGTTCCAGTCCCAAACCTGGTAGCTTGAAAATCACGCCTGGCACGTGTACACACGTGCCCAGAATCCTGGTAGGAGCCTGGAGGAGAGGGGGCTGTGGCATGGCCATCTTTCTCAGAGGCTGATTTCTCACTTTTCCTATCGCTGTCTTTCTCTCCACCTCCATCCAGCAAGCACACGTGCCCTATGGCAAAAACTTCTTTAAAACGTTTTTAAATTAAAAAAAAAAAAAAAAATACACACACACACACATCAGAGCCTTTTTCTGCATTAAAAGAGTCAACACTGTTTTGAACACTCATTCTGTACAAGGCACTCTTGCAAGCTGATTAATGTAATCAGTATAATAACCTTCTGAGGTAAGCACTGTTTCACCACTCTTTCAAGTACAAAAAACTACCTTCATTAGATTAAGTCAGGTCAAACAGCCAAAACATGAAAGAAGTGAGATTCAAACCTATTTCTACCGGATACAATACCCTGAGCTCTTACGTTTATCATGTACCTGTGTATGACAATAGATGTGAAAAAAAGGAGTTAATGGTAGGTGGGATAATAGCTTATGTTCATTTTCCTAATCTGTATTTTCAAAGCTTTCTCTAAAAAAAAATTAGGAGGCAAGTAAGAAAAATTTCATTTTATTTTAATCGTTGGCCCTCTCTTTGAAGACATTATAACATAACAGCTATCTAAAGCAGCAATAAATGACATGTAAAATTTACAAGTATCCATCATCTAACATATTCATAAAAAGGGTCAGAACCGTAGAGCACAGTTATTTCCATCAAAGATCAATGACTCAAACTCGGTCAGTACCATTGTGACCTATAACTTCTTTCTTTTTTTATTTAATTTAATTTTATTCTTTGTCATTATTTTATTTTATTTTTTTGAGGTTGACCAGAGAGAAACAGAGAGAGAGAAGGAAAGTGAGAAAGCAAGCTGCCAGGTCCAGGACACGAACCGTGGTCAGCCATGTGGGAGTCCAGCCATCTTAGTCACCATGCCATCTGCTGGCCTGACCTATAATTTCTCATTTCTACACTATCTCAAATCATTTTATGACCAAAACCAAGTAATGGCTTGTGTGACACATTAACAAGTGCTCCTCTATTAAGAAATTAACATGCAAACCAATTAAATGGTAATAAAAATTGCCCACTGTGATATTCCAAAAAATTTTTAAATTTCTTTAACTTGTTCTTGTTTGAATAGTTCATGCTTCTAAAATGATTCTTGTCACCACATTCTGAAACTACTTACATCACTGGTGTTGACAAACCACGTGATCTCTCCATAGGAAGCCAGTTCACCGTTGACGTAACACCGCAGCTCACTGTTCTTCCAGCGGTTGTAGATGTGCACTATCGTGACCATGTACCACTGCCCGAGCGAAACACAGAAGCAAAGATCAGTCATGATTCTCCCAGCAACACAACCGTATTGACAAGTAAAACCTCAACAAGAAGCCATGATTAAACCTAAAAATGAATTCCGTTGAACTCAATATTTAACATCTAGGATCTTATTTATTTAGGCAGGCTCTGAATGGATGAGAATGTTGATTACTAAGTTACTTTTCCAATTTAAACATTTTCTATACTAAAAAAGCTAACAATCCAGTATGAGCTCTTCTCCACCCATCACTGAAATTCCACAGCTGTCAGCATGTTGCCGTATTTTCTTTATTTATTTGCTTACTGAGGCACACACGTGTTAATCTCTCGATTTTAAAGTACAAAAAAATATTAAATTTGCAGTACTAAAATAATTGTCATTCATAGTTTCTTCTTGTACTTCCCCCAACTCTATAAATAGGTAAATATCCAATCTTTTTATTCTCCAAATCAGAGAAGTTAGTAATGGCTAGGGATTTGCACTTCATTGTTTGAAGTCATACGCAGTTGTGAGTTAGTGTATTAAGTGAACAACAGCAAAACAATCATTTTGAAGAGTACCAGAGCTCGTTAACGCAGTAAGATCACCTACCTTTTGCGGCTTGAAGTCAAATTTTACGCAGTGTTGAAAGCCTTTTCCTTTGGACTTTATTGATGTTATAATCAAACAGCCTCCAACAAAATGAGCAGAATAACCAAGCCCTTTGCTGGTTCTGAAACTGGAAGAAGTAAGGTTCCACTTTACCGATAGTCTTCTCATTTTCAAAGTCAGGTAGTAAGACTGATCAGTTACAGAAGTACATACCAATACAAATACGGTTTATCCTTATCCACGTTGATGTTATTCACAGGGTCCAGTCTAAGCCAGGTATGAAACGTAAAACCATTCTGGTACGGCCACTTGGCTATAGGAGGTAACGCGATAGCCTAGACCAAGAAACTCTGAGTTACTGACACAAAGGGAAGAGAAACCTTTACTACTGAAATCAGAACAACTTTACAATGCATATATATATAGATAGATAGATATAGATATAGATATATAGATATAGATATATGGATATATATATATAGATATATATATTTCTACCACATTATAACACTTCATGCCATGATTAAAATATCTGGGGAAAGACTTCATAACTTTTGGGTTTCCCAAATACATAGGAATGATGCTAATTTAATTCAATGAAAGAAACATTCGGTATAACCTCTTGGATAAAAGCATTTTGTCCACTTCGTTTTCACAATGAGCATATCTAAAGAGATTCCAATTAAAACAGGCAAGGGAATCAAACTGGAAATACGCTGCTAAGATGTTAAGGTATTAGACTAGAGAGAAAAGGATAAGAATAAGAAAAATGGTAAAGAAAAAGGTTGGTATATGTTTCTTTTTATTTTAACACAAAACTAAAAAGAATTAAGTTAGTTTGTAAATGTTTTTTCTTTTTGAGAGGTTTTTGCTATAAGGCGCGTGTGCTTGCCAGGAAGACAGAGAGAGACAGAGACAGAAAGCGAGAAATCACCCCCCAGGGGGGATGGCCACGCTGCAATCCCTTCTGCTCCATTCCCCTCTCGGGATCTTGGGCACGCACGCACACACGCGCCCGGCGTGAGTTTAAGACGATGGGTCTGGGATTTGTACCGCGGTCGACTACATGGGAGTCCAGCGACATAGCCATTACACTAACTACTGGTCCCAGTTTGTGACATTTTTAAATTGTATTCAGAAGTCACTGTAGGGATGGCTTTAACACTTGGTGTAAAATTTGATTCAAAAGATAATACTACATAAAGGAAGGAATTGTGAATAGTCAAAACAATCATTAAAGAACAGTGAAAGGCCTTTTACTACTAATCGTAAAAGCTACTACAAAGCTACAGTAAGGAAGATTGCTACCTCATAAGGTCTTTGTGAATTTGAATTAGGAGAATCCTTACTAATTACGCCACCAGTAACACAATATGTAAATACATAAATTGGATTTTGTTAAAATGGAAAACTGGGGGTGGAGGGACAGCAGCAAAATCTCACACTCCGTGAGGCTGGTCCACAGGAAAAGGTTCCAGACTAGTGTCTGGGGACCTCTCTGAGTATACGGACGTGCGCATACCCACGACCCAAGACTGGCTGACAGCAGGGCAGGAACACCATGGCATCAATCCTGGTAGGGGACGTTATTTCTCTGTCTCTGTGTCTCTCGCTCATGGAAGAAATAAATAAATAAACTTATCAAAGTTAGTTGGTGTAATGGCTAGGTCGCTGGACTCCCATGTAGCTGACTAAGGTTCAAGTCCTAGATTCAGTGGCTTAAACTCATGCCAGGCACATATGCGTGCGTGCCCAAGATCCCGAGAGGAGACTGGAGGAGAAGGGATTGTGGCATGGCCATCTGCCCTGGGGAGTAATTTCTCGCTTCCTGTCTCTCTGTCTGTCTCTGTCTTTCTGGCAAGCGCACACGCCCTATAGCAAAAACCTCTCAAAGCAAAACACTGTGCTTAAGGACTGGCAGATGGCGTATTGGCTATGTCGCTGGACTCCATGTGGTCAACCGCAGTTCGAGTCCTGGACCCCATGGCTTAAACTCATGCCAGGCACATATGCGTGCGTGCCCAAGATCCCGAGAGGAGAATGGAGGAGAAGGGACTGCAATGTGTGCACGCGTCCTATAGCAAAAAAGTCTTCCCGACAAAAAAAATTATAAAATAAAAAAATAAAGTGCTTAGAAGGATACCATCAAATAGATAAAAGGGCACACACATACACACATGCCCGGCATGAGTTTTACACCGACGGGTCTGGGATTCAAATCATGGTCTACTATGTAGAAGTGCAGCGACATAACTGTTATGCCATCTCCTGGTCTCCCTCAATACGTTAACAATCATATGATCTAGCAATTGCCCTCCCAGATCATAACAAATGAAAAACTTACACTCATGAAAAACAAGTACGCAAAAGTCCGCAGCATTATTCGCAAGAGCCCAAAAAGTAGAAAGCCCTAATATCCATGAATTGATGAATGATTAAACAAACTGTGCTATATTCATAAACAAGAATGCTAGCCATAAAAAGGAATGAAGGATTGATACATGCTACATGGACAACCCTGGAAAACCTGCAAAGTGAAAAAAGCCAGTGACGGGACCAGCAGTTAGCATAATGGCTATGTTGCTGGACTCCCACGTAGTCGACTGCAGTTCGAGTCCTGGACCCGGTGGCTTAAACTCACGCCGGGCGCATGTGCGTGCGTGCCCAAGATCCTGAGAGGAGAATGGAGGAGAAGGGATTACGGCGTGGCTATCCCCCCTGGGGGGTGATTTCTCGCTTTCTATCTCTCTGTTTCTCTCTGTCTGTCTGGCGAGCGCACACGCCCTATAGTAAAAACCTCTCAAAAAAAAAGCCAATCACAAAAGATCACACAGTGTATGATTCCATTGATACAAATGGATCTTCCTACTGGGTCGGCAGAAAGTCATGACGTGTTTTCTATGTTTGTCTAAGCGAAAATGCATCATGACTTTTCTGACGCCCCAATAAATAATAAATCCACAGACACAGAAAGTCGATTAGTGGTTGCCTAGGGACGGAGCTGGGGAAAATTGAGCAATGACAGCTAATAAGTATAGAGCGTCTTTCAGGGTTGATGAAAATGTTCTAAACTTGACAGTAGTGATAGGTACACAATCAGTGACTAAAGCCCATTAAATTACACACTTTAAATGACTTAAGTATATAGCATCTGAATTTATTAAGCTATAAATATATATATATAAATTACATACTAATATAGCCATTAAAAGCATATAAGCTTTTGTTTTATGGTTATTGTAATTCACATATACACTTATACATATGTGTATGTGTGTATATATGTATATATATTGCTTTATATGTATTAGATATGCCATGAAATGAAAAACACCATAGAGTCAAACTCATGTAATAACATTACTGAGAATTTAAAAGGCTGATATGAAATGAATCTTGCATTAAGAAAAAAAAAACATACATTCGGGGTGCATGTATGCACTCTCTTACCGAATGTAAGAACAGGCATGAAAGCACTATAGAAATGATGTGTCCATGAATATGTTAAATTCCCGTTAACAGCTACGTTAAAGAAAGGTACGAGTCCTGAATACATTTAAAACACCTATTCTCTAAAAGTCTCATAAGCCGTTCAGCTACACTGTCCTATTTTCAAGATAAATGAGGGCGAGTAAAATGAACACATTAAAATCCCAAGGAATAATGAAATCATAACAGGATGCATACAAATAGAGTTAATCTCATGAGAGAACTTTTTTTAATGTTGGATGATGCGATTTTTTTTTTTAATGCAGATGATAGGGTTTTTTAATGTTAGATGATAGGTTTTTTTATGCAGATGATAGGTTTGAGGCCAGAACAGTAAAGTTATTCTGGAAGGTTTCAAATCTAAAATACCTTTTAAAGAAAAATTGTAAAGGAAGAAAAATAGGAGAAATAAAACTTTTCAGTGACAATTGTGGATTGTGGGGCCAGCAACGGCAGAGCAGTTACATAGCTGGACTCCCACAGTCGGCTGCAATTTGCGTTGGATCCAGCAGCTTAAAACTGAGGCCTGGCACTGGTGCTCATGTGCCCAAAATCCCAAGAAGAGAATGGAGGAGAAGGGACTGCATACGTAACAATAAAATTCCACAAATGCCTTTTAAAAACATATTCTTATCTTTCTGCACATAATAGTTAGACCCTGACTACTCAGGGCCTAACACGAAAATAAGATTTTATAAGAACCAAAGTACAAAAGGAATGAAACATCAGCTAAAATTTTTAAAAAGACTACACTATCTTTATAAAAAATGGTTTGCTTATAACAGACTAACCATTGAATTAAAGAGGTAAAAACATTTTCATAAAGGACGTATTACACAGTGTCATACCCTCATAATATTTCGAAACATCACGAATATCACTATCATACGCTATTGCCTTATTTACAAACTGATCACCAGCTTATACGAATGCTGAGAGCGCTAAAATTTGGAAACTCACAAGTCAGGAAACCTCGTCTAAGAAGTTTCAAAGAATGACTCTCATGCTGTACTCCAGGTACAACAGAAACAAGAGGGGACCAGCAGTTGGCATAATGGCTATGTCACTGAAATCCCATGTGGTCGACTGCAGTTCAAGTCCTGGACCCGGTGGCTTAAACTCAAGCTGGGCATGTGTGTGTGTGTGCCCAAGATCCCGAGAGGAGAATGGAGGAGAAGGGATTGCGGTGTGGCCATCCCCTCTGAGGGGTGATGTCTCGCTTTCTATCTCTCTGTCTCTCTCTGTGTTTCTGGAGAGCACACACACCCTATGGCAAAAAAAAAAAAAACTCTCCAAAAGATGAATGCTATGTTGGAGATCCTCCACATACAAGGGAAAGGTAAGGCTAGAGACAGGTCATCAGAAAGACAGGAAGATGTCACACACGAAGAGCTACTTCAGGGTGCAGAGATAATTCACAGGACAACACGGATGTATCCAAAAGAACAGGATTAGTATTCCACTGCGGACGCGAGCTGGAAGAGGCAGCTGTCTCAGCTGCTCTGAGCATCTATGTCTTCACTTCTGAAACAGGAAAAGGTAACACACACAACTGTCATGAGGATTAGAGTCACTCATGCAGAGAAGTCTGTACCTAACACAGAACCCGTCACGGGTGTGTGCAGTTACCCCGCAGCAGAGGAAAGGAGGGCACCGAGAGACTTCCTCCTCATGGGTACTTACGGCAGCGCTCTTGCCTGGGAAGTTGAAAAAGGCGTCAGGACCGTACTTCTGAGGCATGTGCTTTAACACCGTCAGCAGCTTCCCCGCGTGTGGAGGCTGTGAGCAGAATCAACGAGTTCACCGTGTTACCCACCACTTGACAAAACTGCACATATTAATAGTCGGGCTTTTTAAAACTGTTTGATCTTATTGTTTTTTTAAAACTTTTTGCTACAGAGCAGGTGTGTTCACCTGAGAGAGACAGAGAAAGAAAGAGAGGTAGAGACCAGCAGTTGGCGTAATGGCTACATCACTGGACTCCCATGTAGTTGACTGCAGTTCGAGTCCCGGGCCCAGTGGCTTAAACTCACACTGGGCACATGTGCGTGCACGCCCCAGATCCAAGAGAAGAAGGGAGGAGAAGGGATTGCGGTGTGGCCATCCCCCTGGTGGGGGGGAGTGATTTCTCCCTTTCTGTCTCTGTCTCTCTCTGTCTTTATGGAGAGTGCACGTGCTCGACAGCAAAAACCTCTCCAAGAAAAGAATAGAAAGAGAGGGAAAGTGAGAAAGCCAGCCACCAAGTTCAAGACTCAAACCATGGTCAACCTCAACCACCACAGCACCTGCTGGCCCCAGTCACACTTTAACATGCACAAGAATGACTGGACAGTGCTAGGAGCTAAGAAGCACACAAAATAACAAGAGGTATTTTCAACCATCTTAAGAAATAACATGCTCAGGGCCAGCAGGTGGCATGATGGTTGAAGGTACTAGACTCCCACATGGCTGACCACGGTTCAAGTCCTGAACCTGGAGGCTTGCTTTCTCACTTTCTCTCTCTCTCTCTCTCTCTCTCTCTCTCTCTCTCTCTCTCTCTCTCTCTCTCTCTCTCTCTCTCTCTCTCTCTCTCTCTCTCTCTCTCTCTCTCTGTCCCTCTGTGGTCAAATTAAAGTAAATAAAGTTAAAAAAAAATACCTCTCTATTGTTAATGTTGTAAGACATACTGGGTATTTGATGAATGAGTTATTATATGACACTTGAAACCATTCTCATACTGCAGCAAAAATAATCTTTTAAAAATATAAACCATAGGGACAAGCAGATGGTATAATGGTTACATCGCTGGACTCCCTCGAAGTCAACCGCAGTTCAAGTCCCAGACCCAGGATCTTTAAAACTCATGCCAGGTGCACGTGGGTGCATGCATGCACCAAAATCCTGAGAGAAGAATGGAAGTGAAGAGAGTACAGTGTGGCCACACCCCCAGAAGGTTGATTTCTCGCATGTGCCTTATGGCAAAGAAATAAAGAATAAACAAAGTTCAAAATTCACAGCCAGCCAGAACATGGGGTTTAAGGTGCTGGACCCTATATGGACAACTGTACGATTTAAGTTCCAGATCATGGCTTGAAAAACAACACTGGGCACATGGGCATGCATGCCCCAAATCCCAAGAAAATGGAGACGGGACTGAGTCATGGCCATCCCCCATAGGGGTTGCTTTCTCACTTCTCCCCCTCGCTCTCTGGTAAGTGTACACACCAATAGCAAACTAAAAATTAAAAAGTTCAGAGTTCAAAAACAAGGTAAAAGAGAAGTGAAACCGATGGCTTGGCCTCATCTTATTTTGATAGCTGCTATTAGTTATCATAACTAATTGTGTAATGAGTTCAGCCACCTGGGGAACAGCAGGTGGCATGGTAGTTGAGATGCTGGACTCTCACATGGAGTCCCAGATCTGGTGGCTTGCTTTCTCTCTCTTATTTTCTAGTTCTCTCTGTCTGTCTGTCTGTCTGTCTGTCTGTCTCTGCTGAGCACATGTGCCCTTTAGCAAATTTTTAAAAATAATAATAATGATGATTTTAAAAATTAAATAACCAAAAAAATGAAAGCAAATAATTTAGCAACCTTTTACCTAAATATTAAGTGGAGAGCTTCATTGTCAAGTGATCAAGAAATTTTCCCCGAGAGGAGAATGGAGGAGAAGGGATTGCAGTGTGGTCATCCCCCCGGGGGTGATTTCTTGCTTTCTGTCTCTCTGTCTCTCTCTGTCTTTCTGGCGAGCGTACGCGCCCTACAGTGAAAACCTCTCCAAAAAAAGAAAAAAAAAAAGAAATTTTCAATTAACCACAGTGGTGAATTATAAAAGTGCGCTTTCCCTCTCTCTTCCCCTCCCTCTCTGTCATCCCCCAAATATATGCTATATGTAAACTAAAACAAAACAAAACAAAAAAGTAAAGTAGCCATGAAGAATAACAACTAACTTATCTGCCTCCATAAACAGCCTAATAACCTTAAAAATATGTATGACGAGGGAACCAGCAGTTAGCGTAATGGCTATGTCGCTGGACTCCCACGTAGTCGACCGCGGTTCGTGTCCCGGACCTGGTGGCTTAAAACTCACGTCGGGCGCGTGTGCGTGCGTGCCCAAGATCCCAAGAGGAGAATGGAGGAGAAGGGATTGCGGCGTGACCATCCCCCCTGGGGGGTGATTTCTCGCTTTCTGTCTCTATGTCTCTCTCTGTCTGTCTGGTGAGCGCACGTGCCCTACAGTGAAAATCTCTCCAAAAAAAAAAAAAATTTAAAAAAAAAAAAATGTATGACGAGGGCCCGATGGTGGTGGGCAATGAAGCCAGGCTGACCAGCATGGAGAGGTCCCCGGAGACCTCCCGAAACATATCAGCCAGTCCACGAACCAGGGCTGGCTCAGATACTGGTGGACTGCTGCATCAAGACCCTGCTGGCGGTACTACTGTCTCTGTGTCTAGCTCTCTGTCTCTCTCATTCACACAAAAAACAACCTTACTTTAAAAAGAACCACTGCGGAGGCCAGCAGGTGGCATGATGGTGGTTAAGGCGCTGGACATTCCCACGTGGCCGACCATGGTTCGAGTCCTGGGCCTGATGGCTTGCTTTCTCACTTTCCTTCTCTCAGCGTGCCTGTCTTTCTTTGATCAAATGAAAATAAATGAAGAAATAAAATTAAATTAAGATAAATAAATAAATAACCATTGCGCTCTGTGACATAGTGTCAGTGTGCCACTCAAGAGCAGTGAGAATACACATGGTAACCATTCCACATGGTCACCACAGTTTGAATCCCTAGCCAAGTCAGCCTGAAACACACCAGGCAGGCATGGACATGAACGCCCAAGATCCAAAGGGCTGGAGAAAAGGAGGAAAAGGAACGCAGCAGGACCAGGCCCTGTGAAGGGCATTTCTCTGTGTGTGTGTGTGTGTGTGTGTGTGTGTGTGTGTGTGTGTGTGTGACTCACTCTCATGTGTGCAAGCATTCTACATGAATAAAGAAAAACGATTTAGAAAAACTTTTTTAAATGTATGTACAACTCACTATGTCTAATGTTATGTCTAAAATTAATAGCCGTAAGGAACAGGAAACTGTGACCTAGAAGAAGAGCAATATCCCCTTTTCATCCCTAGAGCTAGAGAACAAGGTCTTAAAAAAGGAGGGCCCAATGCAGTGCTGCTGGTTCTTCTGCCTTCAGACTCTGCACGTCCTAACGGCACCATGCAGGGCCAAGAGCCTCCGGAGGGTTGGGCTTTGTGGTCCGAAGGAGCCACTCTGAGGGGAACACAGAGAAGAATCTGCCGCTTTCAGTGGAAAATAAAGGGCGATTACTAGTTAAGGTGACTCTGTGCTGTGGACTGGATTTGCTGCACCTTTTTTATATAGTAAGACAACTGCTGAAGAAATAAGGATGTTTTGAATCATCTATTTAATAGCTACAAAGAACATCTTAAGAGGTGTAGTCCTAAGTTCTCAAAATGGATCAAATTCTTAAACTCACAGCATACTAGGTATGTTTGTAAAGAAACGTATAACATGAATTTTGAAAAAGCAAAATCAATGTATTAAAAAGAAACCTGGAAAATGCCAGAGACTACAGAATTAGAAGGAAAGTGCATTAAAGTGAGTATGATTATGCAGTACTTAAAGAAAAGTAAAAACATAATAAGGGGAAAAAAGGTATTATAAACAACCAATACAGAACTTACAGAGATAGAAAAACTCTCTAAAAATTTCAATAGGTGGATCAATTAACACAGTTCATTTGAAACTATACAATAAAAGCCATCTAGGGACCAGCAGTTGGCGTAACGGCTATGTCGGTAGACTCCCACATAGTCTTGAGTCCTGGACCCAGTGGCTTAAACTCACGCTGGGTGCGTGTGCATGCGTGCCCAGGACCCGAGAGGAGAAGGGATTGCAGCGTGGCCATCTCCCATGGGGGGTGGTTTCTCGCTTTCTGTCTGTCTGTCTCTGTCTTCCTGGCGAGTGCATGCGCCCTATAACAAAACCTCTCAAAGAAAAAAAAAAAAAAGGCATCAAAAATGAAGAGCAACGAGATCAAGATGGGGCCAGTAGG